TATTTTGTGGGTGATACGGCAAAAATAGGCCCTCTCAGTACTTTGACATTTTCTAAATATATACATTTTCTAAGTACACTAACGGAGCACGTTATTAGGACCACTGTACTAATACTGGTTAGGGCCTCCCTTTTCTCTAAAAACAGTTTCAGTTCTTCATGTGGGAATCCATGTTGACATGACTGCATGCTGCAGATCTCCCACTCTACCACATCTCAGAGTTATTCTGTTGGGTTCAGATGCTGTGACTGGGAGGGCCACTGAAGAACACTGAACTCCATTTTCATGTTATTGAATCCAGTTGGAGACTAATTTGCTTTGTGACATGGTGCATTATTTTGCTGTAAGTAGCAAATAGAAGATTGGTAAACTGTGGCCATGAAGAGATGCACATGTTCAGCAACAGTACTCACATAGGCTGTGGCATTAGAGCGATAACTGATTGGTATTAATAGGCCCAAATTGTGTGCCAAGAAAACATTCCCCACACAATTACACCACCTCCACCAGCCTGGACTGTTGACGTAAGGCAGGTTAGGTCTATGGATTCATGCTGTTGGTGCCAAATTCTGACCCTACTGTCTGTGTTCCTCAGCAGAAGATTCATCAGATCGGGCTACATTTTTCCAGTCTTCACAGTTTTGGTGAGCTGGTGCCCACTGCAGCCTCAGCTTTCTGTTTTTGGCTGACAGAAGTGGAACCTTACATGGTCTTCTGCTGTTGTGGCCCATCCGTGTCAAAGTTTGCTTCTTGTGCGTTGCGAGATGCTTTTTTGCTTATCACAATTATACAGAATGTTTTTTGAGTTACTTTAGTCTTTCTGTCAGCTCAAAATAGTCTGTACATTCTCTGTTGAACTCTCACTGTGCTCACCAGATGTTTCTCTTTATTGCACCATTCTAAGTAAACTCTAGAGACTGTTAAAATTCCCTGGAGATCAGCAGTTCTAGAAATACTCAGCTTTTCTGGGGCCCAGAATGATTTTGATCTCGTCTAGCGTTATTTCAAAATTTGAAAAAAAGCCTCTGATCTGGTAACCACTTTATGTGGTTACTAGATAAGTGGACACTGTGCACGGTTTTTCAAGCCATCATTCAATTAATGTCAAACCATCTGTCGAACAATTGATAAATGGTAAACAGTGCTGCTAACTAGGAAAGAGGAGCTGGTTAGCATTAGCTTAGCTAGCATGCTAACAGCTCTGCCACTCGCAGAACATGTTCTGTTCTGGCTAACTTAAGCACTGACACAAGTTAAGATGATTAAAAATAGTAATTAAAATTTGAGAGTGAATATGAGCAACTGTTAAAGGGCCAGAACGGCAAAATTAAACCTGTTCAGTGATGTTTGTATCTGTAGCCTGATAGGCTACCTTCACATTAGCTTAGCAAGCAGACAACAGACCCAAACAGTGCTACCCATCACAGTTACAGGAACAGCAAAAGTGGAGCTGAAATCAAACCTGTTCTGTGGTGTTTGGGAGAGAGCTTAGTTAGCATGGACTTGATTGTAGCTAACCAATGCTAAAAAGACACCCGTTTAGAGGATAGCACAGCTGTTTAGAGGATGGTGCAAAGTCGAGTGACTGGTATTGAAGTGAAGGCTAAAATTGAACGTGTTCTGTGGTGCGTACAGAGAATGCGCAGTTCTGATACGCATAGCTCTTTGCCGTGACTGAGCTGCCATCTTGCTTTGTTTTTCTGAGGGTTTTCCTGGCTCTGATTTCCCTCCTTTTTCTGTTAGCACCATCTACTTGTAAGCTCTCACACCTCCAGTCAGTGAGCCTTCTAAAATAAAAATAGGTGGAATATGTTTATTTATCCGTTCAGGCGTGAAATAGAAATTTGAGTCTTAATAATTTTGATGTACTGTCATCATTTTTATGTACCGATTTATGCTGTATTACCATCATACCACCCAGCCATAGAACAGAAAAACGCATCAGTTGGGACACGTTAAAATACTATCAAAAACTATCAATACAATGATTATATTGCACAGCACGAAATCCAATCAAATAGGCCTAATTATGCTCTTTGTAATGAAACATGCAGTTGGTCAATGTTATTTAAGTACTGACCATATCCATGATGTGCTTCGAAAAGCATAGTCCTGTGACATGACATCATTCATCACGATAATGTTCAATATCGGCATTTTGCCCACCCTTACTTTCAGTTATTTTCTGAGTAGCTGTAATGGCTAAAAGCCACGAGAAGCATGAGAAGCAGTGTCTGACGTGGCGTATCTGTTTCTGGTCTGATTTCATTGCCATTGTTGAGGTAAATACTGTCGTTTGGAATTATGTTTATAAAGTTTATAAAACTTTGCTTCTTTTTAAAGGCGTGAAAGTGGCAGAGAAGCAGTGAACAAATTTGAGTGTGAGCTTTATGTTTTTCTGATAAGAAAAAAAAAAGACTCTCGGGCCCTCCTGAGGCACTAGATTTTAAAGACCTGCCTTTTACCCTTCTCCTCTTACCTCTACATTGAAATTCAGCAGTCAGAAAGCTGACTTGCGAAGCAGGCTGGAGAACAGTCTTCATAAAGATGCACAGAAGAGAAATGTAGGTGAATATTTATAATCCTACATCTCCACTCTAAAAATAGTTAAGTACACCTCTTTTAGCATGAGATGCAGCCATAGCATGAAGGATCCTCTTCAGTTGTCAATACTAGTAGCCCCAAATCAATAAAGCCACCTCCCTTTTGTCATACAGAACACAGGTGAGGAGTTGAGTTTGCAGTAATTGTCCCCTTGTTCAGCATATTTCCCCTGCTAGTTTCTCCCGCTCCCTCTCTCCCTCCGCTCCCTCTCCTCCTGCCGAATTGGAGCTGGGTTTTCTTTTTAATTAATAATCCATCTCTCATGCTTCATTATGCTTTAATGGTCCCCAGAATGAGCTCATTTGGCTAGTGCGCTCACTGCATAGGAGACTGCAGCTGACTGAAAGAGGAAAAGTAAAGTGGATAATTTGGGAGGGATGCTTTCTCACTCAGTTTCTTTTACAAGCACTGTGTAATGACCACATTGGTTCTCACACTGTCAACTGATTCTGCAGAAGAGTGTTGGAATTAACTGAGGGTTTTTGTTTTATCTGATGCCATTTATCTGCCAATACTGCTCTAGTCTTTGCTTAATAACTCATAGAAATGCCTTGATGACTGCCATGCTGATGACTGAGGTTGTCTTTCTGATCACAACAACTAAAGAGATACAGTTTCAAGAAATAGAGCATTCAGCAGAAGTTCAAGAGACACCATTATTGTTCTGCCTAGAGGGGCCTTTTTATTCCTTTCACATATTCAGAAGACTTTAAATTACCATAGAGTTTTTGCTGTGTTATCTGGGTAAGTGTGCAGTATTGCCCGACGTGCTGCAGAGATGTGTTGTGGAGTTGTGTAGTCTTAGCCATGAGGCAGAGAGAGACTGGCTGAGTGATTGTTTGGGTCAGAGGCAGCAGAGGAATGGACTAAAACATGGTATGTGCCTGGGAGGAAGTGCCTGTGTAGTCCACTATCCTTCCTCACCTCACTGTTTAGAGCAAAAACTGGAGGCTCATCAGTCTTAGCAAGATGTGCGAGTCATATGAGACTAACAGGCTCTTGGTTATAGACCCTCAACTGACTTAAATGGGCAGTTTCACTTTGCTGTCATGTTTCCTTCAGACACAATCATCCTGTTGTCCTGAAGTATGCCAGATACAGTTGTCGGCTTCTTCTTTATTTTCCACTTTGTTAAAACAGTACCAAAGGAAGTCTTTAAGGACATTTTCACTAAAGAGTTATTTTTCCCCTGCCATTCTAGGTGATCATCTCATCCAAGTGAATTTATGCGGTGAAGACTGAAAATAAGTTCTAAATACATTCATTCTGATCTTCTGCTGTCCTTTGCGATTCTGTGATGATTGTTTGCCTTCTTGTGTGTACGTGGCCTTGTTTAGTTGATGTAACTGGTGTCTCGCAAATATATTTGGTAGCTATCCCCTTCGCTGAACTCGGACAAGCTTTTAAAAATTACATGTGTGAGAAAAAGATGACATTATGAAGGATGACTATTTATAGGTGGGTGGGTGTGTGGTGTGTGGGTGTGTGTGTGTGTGTGTGTGTGTGTGTGTGTGTGTGGGAAGGACATGTTAAACACCCCTTTGTGTATAGATATCCTGCCAGATGCAGCCTCCAGCCCTGACCAAAATGACACCTCCTCATCCTTGATGCATTTCCTCAGTAGGCCCTTTTAGCAAGTATGACTGAATGAATGCAATACTTACCCCAGCAGAGACTTCCATAGCAAAACCTTCTGTCCTTCCTTCTCACTGGGCCACCCTAAACAAAAATAATGCCTGGCTTTTTAAGGATTCATTCTTTTCAGTGTTCTTTGCAAAAATGGCCCATACTGAAGGACTGATTTATCCCTTACCCATTTTTTGCTGGAACCTAGGCTGCATCAGGATAGTTAAATGAATTTTTCTTTCCTATCTACTTTCCTTATTTTTGCTTAATGTTGTAGCCATTTGGATGCATGTGCTGGTCATCTCTGCCAGTGTATTAAGTGAGGCCATGGGCAACAGATCAGGCAAAAACCATAGATGGGAAAGCAAGCTTCATTCAACAGTTTGTGTTTTCTGAGATAATGCTCTTGTTGCTGCAGGGCTGCCTCTCTTCCATATATTGGCTGTGTTGCAGAAGTGATCAGTAATAATTTAATGAATCAGTGCTCAGACATCTCATGTGGCTCTGGTACATAAGCACAGCATCTTTTCTTCAGAGGCTCTGGGTATTACATAGAGAATATAATGAAGTCTAGCATAGATTTTCCTGTTAACTTATCCTTCCCTTTCCATTGCTGTACAGCACAACTAGGTCATTTAGGCTCTGGAAATGCTGTAGTGGGTTTCATCTTTGTTTTTAGCAGTACATCTAACCTCCACAGTTGGTGTGGAAACATGACTAATTAAAGTTGTGTGTGTTACTCAAATGTTTTCTCTTGTTTTGTTTTGTAGAGTGCAGCAATGGAGGAGACAGTAATATGGGAACAGCACACAGTAACTCTACACAGGGTGGGTATTGATGCTTTCTTATTAGTCAGCTATGTTTTAGGGCTGCAACAAATATTCACTAAAAATTGATCGTTAAAATATTTGAAAATTGTAAAGCCATTTGATTAAGCTATACTTTTACCACTTTTGGGAAACCACACAGCTTTGTGTATTGTTTTTTTAATCCATCAAATTACTTGAAAGCCATTTGATTAATGTGTACTTTTACCACGTTTGGGAAACCACACAGCTCTGTGCAGCGTTTTTTTGAATCCATCAGTAGTATGGATTAGTAGCAAACAGGTGCCTTCACCACCTTCACACTGTGAAACGATGAGCCTTTATCTCCAAAATGGCAGTCTGTGGTTAATTGCTGTAAGTAATAAAAACCTAAGAGACTCTGGTTTTAATCAGAAGTAGAGTTTGGGAGACTTGGTTTCTAGATTTCTGTTTTAGAACTCAAATTTAAAATGACAATCTGCTTTGACACCATGTGCATTCTAAAAAAATTCCCCATTCCTCTGGATTGCTAGCTAGCATGCCATCAGTCGCTGGCTAACAAGCTGTCTAGTGCAGTAAGAAATTTGAACAGGCTACACCAGGTATTAAGTCTGCCTTAATCATTAAGAAATATGGTCACTCCCCTGAACATTGAGAAAAGTTAACCAAGAGTGTTGTTTTCATGTTTTAAGACTTTGGTTTGATAAGATATTTAATAGTTACTGTCATATTATGTTTTGACACATTCAGTGGCTGTTAACTCTATGTATGTTTTGGTTATTGTTTTGCTTATTCATCCAAGTGCTGGTGTCTATAAATGCCAGAAACATTCAGAGAAGCTATTTTTTTTTTTGCAAAGCGTACTTTACTTTGCTGTTGTATTTTACATTGCTGCTGGCAGCAATATTCTCCTTTTTGTTTCTCCCCCTCTATAAGATCCCTTTTTATCTTTCCGTTCTCCTGTGCTCTCTCTTTATCTTTTTGACCATCACTAACCCTCTTATCTCTCAGGTCTCCCTTCTCATTTCTCAACTCTTCTTTCATTCCTTTTTTGTGCCTGTTTTTACCCTCCCTGCACCCATATTACTTACTTGGTGTGCTGTTTCTCGTTCATGAAAAGAGTAAGCATGTCTCTGTCCAGCTTTATTTCTGCCTGATAGTAAATACTTGAGCTCCTCTCCCCCAGGCACCAGGGTTTGGATTTGGAATCGCGATTTCAGGTGGGAGGGATAACCCGCACTTCCAGAGTGGAGAGACTTCCATTGTCATCTCTGATGTGCTGAAAGGAGGACCAGCGGAGGGCCTGCTGCAGTAAGACACTCTTCTCCATCACTTCCTCTTTTCTGGCATGCACATTTGTAAACATACATGGAAGGATTGCTGATCTCAGCTTTAGTCAGTGCTGCCTGTCGTTGAATTGAGCGTGACTGACACTTTTGCTGACTCTGTGCCTTGCCCTCACAGGGAGAATGACAGAGTTGTGATGGTCAACGCGGTCTCCATGGATAATGTGGAGCATGCATATGCAGTGCAGCAGCTTCGGAAGAGTGGAAAGAATGCAAAAATAGTAAGTTAGATTTCCAGATTTTTCTGAGTGATTGTATGCTGCCTTTTGAACAGGTTTCTCAAGGGGGTTTAAGAAAAGATGTTCATGTAAAGCTAACTTGAACACAACCCCTAAACTTCTGAAATAAAGCTCATCTCATGTTTTGTTTTAATGGGGCAAGCTATGGGTAACTGACACAAAACAGTCATATGAACATAATGAGATTAGATTTGAGATTGAGTAAATACTGTTCTGATCTCTCCCTCTCTCAGACCATCAGACGAAAGAGGAAGGTCCAGATCCCCATGGGGCGTCATGGAGAGAGAGAAACCATGTCTGAGCACGATGAAGATGATGACAGCTATGAGGATGAGATCTATGAAGTGCGGAGTGGACGGAGCGGGCCCAGCGCGTACAGTGGCGGAGGGGCCACAGGCCGGAGGAGTGGCAGAGGCGAGCGGCTAGGTGGGAGGCGGGAGCGGGACAGAGAGCGCAGCGGTTCCAGAGAAAGGAGTTTATCTCCACGCTCGGACCGCCACTCTGTGTCCTCCAACCTGCCTCCACGCCCAGCCAAGGTCACTCTTGTCAAGTCCCGCAAGAATGAAGGTTAGCTTCACCTTTTCAAACTGCCAGTAAGCTTCTCTTACCAGCTAGTGCTGCAACTAAAGATAATTTCTTTGATCAATTAACTACTATGATGGATCAATGAATCTGTAATGCCTTCTTCGGCTTCTCTCCTTTTGCCCCTGCTGTCATTCAAACTTCTACCTGTGCAGCCTTCAGTTTCCTCCAGTGTTTCCTATAATCTTCTGCAGTCTGTCAGAATTAACTGTGGATCTTAGGAACGTTAGAGTATTAAAGCGGTTTTGAGATAATAGAACACATAAGAATTTTTAAATAGCAGCTGCAGAGTAATAACACTAACAATTTACTGTTGCTGTATGTAATTATTATATTCCGTTTGTGTACAGTGAAATTGTTTATTTTTTTTTTTTTTGGCTTACTTTAAAGACGTGAAAATGTAACTGGAGAGGAACAAAAGAGGATTGCCAGCTGCTGTTGTGTGCAAACATGAAGCTAATATACTAACATGGTGTTTGCGTGTTGCTGCTCTTCACTTTTACAAGCAGAATATGGCCTTCGCCTGGCCAGCCACATCTTTGTGAAGGATATCTCTCCCGAGAGCCTGGCCGCCAGGGACGGCAACATCCAGGAAGGAGATGTTGTACTGAAGGTGAGACAGCAGGACAGCCAGGAATGAGCAGCTCACACAAAGAAACAATAATGAGCAGGGAAAAGAAGAGAAAATGTGAAGGATGCTGAAAGGGGAGACAAGAATAGACATGGGCTGGTCAGGAGTACATGAGATGTGATGTTGATTAGTTTTGCTGAGTAACGTAAGCAAGAAAACATTTTGATAGTATCATAGATTAAATAAAGATTGATGGATTAAGTAAACATTTATTGTAAATGGGTGAAAAAAGCATGGTCTAACCACCTTATAACTCCTCCTCTTAGATAAATGGCACAGTGACAGAGAACCTGTCACTGATAGACGCTAAGAAGTTGATTGAAAGATCAAAGGGCAAACTGAAGATGGTGGTGCAGAGGGACGAGAGAGCCACATTGCTGAACATCCCTGACCTGGATGACAGCATCCCCTCAGCCAACGCTTCCGACAGAGATGGTTGGTATTAATGCTTTACAGCCTTGTTTAAAAGCTTGCATGATAAACGCTGTGAATCACAACATGATTTCATTACAGTTATTTTTGCTATGTAAAATGCATCAATTTCTAGTGTCCTTGTTTTGTTGACAACTGTGTCTGATCTCATTAAAGGTGAGTGGCTTGTCTCTCTGTAGATACTATCATGCATGTTTTGTCTGGGAAACTAAAGCCTTTCTTTGTCTTTGGTTTCAGATATTTCAGATATCCACTCAGTAGCATCTGATCACTCAAACCGTTCCCACGACAAAAAGAGGAGCAGTCGCTCACGCTCCCCGGACCGGCGCTCGGAGCCCTCAGAACATTCCAGACATTCCCCCCCTCAAATAAGCAATGGCAGGTCTGTAAACACTCTTTTTCTCTTTCTCTTCATTTTTCTATCTCACTCTTGCTCGCTGGTTCTCTTTTTCTGTCTCTTGTCTGCAGCTTCTTCTCCCTTTTTTTTTCGTCGCTTGTTAGTTCATACCTGGTCTCCTATGATAGTAAATTTCCAAGGAAAACTTCACCTTCAGTTCTTGAAGTGGAAGCTGTCTAAAGAACAGTACCAGGCTGACATTTCTAGTAAACTGGAAGAAGCCTAGATAGATGAAGTGAGACATGACCAAAGCAGGGGAGAGGGAGTATGAAGGAAATGGCTTTTTTTTTATTTTTATCTCCACCTCTTTTGGTAGTGGAATAATTTTACTGTCAACTGAGTGTTTTTATTTTATTTTTTTTCCAGTTTATATTTTCCTTTTACATAATACCCAATCTAGAATGATGATAAACCTTTAATTAATTAATGTTGCATATTTTGTACCAGAGGTACAAGGTCTTTGATGCACAGATTTCAGCCAGTGTAAGTGTCAGTGAATGGTTTAAAACTTGTGCATTCCAATGGACATAAAACATGATTTAACTCTAACATGACCAACTAATGCAATTAACATCCATTTCAGCATTGTATGGAGGAATGAATGTCCTTGAAAGTTCTTTCATGGTGATGTGTACTTTTTTTTGTATAACCAAACTAATCCAACACTCTTCCTTTTGATGAGCTGTTGCTTTTTGGCAGTCTGGAGCATTGTGGGCTAAACAAGCACATTTACCAGCCATAACTAATTCTCTGTAAACCAGGGCTGTCTGGTCTCTAGATCAATAAACCGATCTTTACATATTAAAAGGATGGAGTACATTTTTGACAGTGAAAGTCAGGTGATAAAGGCTGTGAATTTGGTTTCTTCAAGTGTGGTTTTTAAAAAGTAGTTTGATCTTACACTTTAAGTCTTGTCGTGTAGGGCAGCTCTGGGAAGAATTAAGATGTTTCTTTTTTTTCTCCACATGCTCTTTCATGGTTGCTTTTACAGGCTGGTTCTAGCCTGTCAGCCTGTTAACAAAGGGCGAAGTGTTTATTTAAAGTGCTCTGGCAGTCTCTGCCCATCTTCATTCTCCCCCTCTCTCCTTCTCTCTCTCTCACTTCTCTCTATTTAGTCAAATGCCAGGTTGGACATTTAGCCAGTTTAGCTGCTCACATTCCCTGAAGAAATGTCCATGTACATCAACTGCACTACCCTCTTAGTGGAAATACTCCTTTATACAGGTACAAGCCAAATAGTCATCCTAACAACTGCAAGAGAAAATTACATAATTGTTCTCCAAAACCTCACTGCTTCATTATGGCACAGTACTACAGTCCAATATAATTGGCAACCTTCCACTTAGTCTTTTCAATTTATATGTATTTTATCACTCATAGGAGTGTACATAATTGAAGGTTTTATTACATTGAGGTATAGTAGTGTATTTTAGTACACACTTACTCTCAATGTCACCACACAGCCCTTTTTTATTGAGCCACACTATAATTGCTGGAAAGGATATTCATCAATGTCATTAATAAAACAGGACCACATGTGTAGTCAGCCTGCACTGAGAGAGAGGATGGAGGAAGGGAGAAAAGGAGGGAGGTGTTTTAGTAATCTATAAGGCCCCTTCACTCCCGTGTCACTCTGACATCAAAGGTCACTGAATGGACACTCTGGATCGCTGTGGCCATGTGCTGATTTTCTCCCAAGGCCCTTTCGCATTTAGCAATCAGGTCCAGAGCACACACTGCACCTGGAGTCAGTCTCACTATTTCTCTCTCTGTCTCTCTTTCTCTCTATTGCTCTCTCTCCATCACTTCAGATCAGAAGGGCTGGTCTAAATATAGCCCAACAAAGGAGCAGCAAAACACAGCTGTGACCTTCAAGACTGCTGAACTGCCCTAGCCATGCATTCTTTTTCTCTCTCTCTCGCTCGCTCTCTCTCTCTCTGTCTCTCCTCACAGCAATTTGTCTTTCACTGTAAACAGTGCTTTATTGGTTGTGTGCTTGGGTTTGATAGTGGAAAAACGGCATGTGTTTTTAGTTGTATGCCTTGTAGGCCAGAAGACCTACATTAATCATCAAATATATTACTTGGTAATTTCGTGGAATGTTTTTATGCTGTGTATTGGATTCTAAAGCATTGGTACATGTCCTATGCTTGTTACAGTAGATGCTGATTGCAGAAGATGACCTTGATCTATCTAAATAGCACAGTGTCATTTTCAGTGCGATGGAGTTTGACTCCAAAGCTTGTCCTTGTGTTCGCAGCCACAGGAGTCGTGATGAAGAGCGCATCTCGAAGCCACTCCCTGTGCCTGCAAAGATGGTGGAGGACACACCTAAAGCGCTGGAGCAGGCTGGGACCAGAGAGGAGAAACAGCTCCCCCCTCTGCCAGGTCAGAGTTCAGGAGAATGCCCTATTTCACTTGTCTGGGAAGACATATTCAGTAGTATGCTTACTATAGTTAGTGCATTTATGTGTCATATATAAAAACCTAAGTGTCACGTGTTCAGGTTCCCTCAGAAGGTTTGTTGTGGAGCACTTGAATACAGATAAAGAGCTAGAAAAAAAATGCATCAGTTTGTTTTGGGGGGCTGAGATGAGACTGGGGAGCGTATGTGTGTGTGCACAGTTGTAGTGATGAGGCAGTATGAGCTGATCAGTTTTGACACTGTCTTCCTGCCTGCAGCATCCTACTGTGTATCTCGCTGACCTCCCTTAGCAGGGGACCCACTTCTGTATAAGAGTGTCTGACTGTGTTTGTGTGTGTGCTTCCCAGTGTTTGTTTTTCTTTGTGTTTTGTGATTTTAACACCATTTACTGTGTTCTTGTCTCCACAGAGCCAAAGCCTGTGTATGCCCAGCCTGGTCAGCCTGATGTGGACTTGCCTGTTAGTCCTGCGGACGCTCCTGTGCCCAGTGTAGCACATGACGACAGCATTCTTCGGTAACTTTTTCCTTTTTCTTAAATATGCTTCTGTGTGTGTGCGTGTGTGTATGTGTGGAGAGAGAGAGAGAGCACCAAATATTTTGGTTTTCTCTCTCACAGCTAAAAACCAAATGTTGTGCACATGTTGTCTTGCATTTTATTGTTTACTATTTTGTTTATTGGTGGTTGTGGACAAATGCCCTTACAGAGTCTAATACCACTGCTACTGTTGTTTGGGAATAAAGAGTCTTAAATTCTGAATGTTTCCAGGCCCAGTATGAAGCTGGTGAAGTTTAAGAAGGGTGAAAGTGTGGGCCTGCGGTTGGCTGGGGGCAATGATGTGGGCATATTTGTGGCTGGCGTGCTGGAGGACAGTCCTGCTGCTAAAGAGGGCCTGGAGGAGGGAGACCAGATACTCAGGGTGAGGACTTTTTTCACTACCTCAATCTCAAATACACAAAACAATACTGACAGCAAAAAACAGTGTCTCTTTAACAGAAATGAGGTTGCGTATCCTGAGAACAGCGGCCACAATAATGACATACAAAAATGTGCATTGTTTTCAGCTTAAAAGTTGCTGAATGTCATTCAGATTGTCTTTGAATATTGTTAGCATCTAATTATGGAAAGCACTGTAGGAAGTCATGTTATTGCTTTCTTTAGTGTGGAAGAAGCAAGTCTTGCTTCTTCGTATCATAACACATCTGAAGGGTGTTTTAGCTCTGATGAATGATATGAGTGGAGTACTTAAAGGCCTCAGGAGGAGGGAGGTTTGGTATTCTAGTTTTATATTCCTTTTTTATGGGCTCTGTGTTGGCAGGCCTAGTTTTATGGGGGTTTGATTCTCAAACTATTTCTTCTCTGCTTTTTTACCCTGTATCAAAATGCCTGTACTTTCATGGTGGTTTCCCTGGTGATGTTAGGTTTTCCTCGCCCAGCTGTCAAAAACTACCCCAACCTCTACCTCCAACATACTCACCCACTCTTTATTCAGAACACACGCACACTCTTTGTAGTGTTTTTGAATGTTCTGTGCTTGAAGTATGGCGAAACGGTCATTGGTATTAATGTGTTTAAAAGACCCTCTTTTGTGTTTCCTTCTCAGGTAAATAATGTTGACTTTGCAAATATAATCCGAGAGGAGGCTGTGCTCTTTCTTCTGGATCTCCCCAAAGGGGAGGAGGTCACCATTCTGGCCCAGAAAAAGAAAGATGGTGAGCATACAGGCCAGTTGTTTAGCGTCAACATTTCGTCTTTTGGCATTAATATGTACTTTGGTAACTTTGGTAAATTTAAATTCTTGAATAAAAAGATTGAAAGCAGGTACTAGAAAAAGAGCTGTTTTCTTATGATTTTATCTAATATACATGAATACTCAGGTACTCCTTGTTTGCTCTCATGCTGTTCTCTGTGTTTTCTAGTGTACCGTCGGATTGTGGAATCAGATGTAGGTGACTCATTTTACATAAGGACTCATTTTGAGTATGAGAAGGAGTCTCCATATGGTCTGAGCTTCAATAAGGGTGAGGTGTTCAGAGTGGTGGATACACTGTACAATGGCAAGCTGGGCTCCTGGCTCGCAATTCGCATTGGTAAAAACCACCAGGAGGTGGAGAGAGGCATCATCCCCAACAAGAACAGGTATAATATGTGTTATTGGTATTATGTTATGTTATTGTTTTTGAGCACTTGTGTTCTGTTTATTCCAACCTGTTCTTTTGGCCAAAACTTAAACTTGAGTTTGATATGAACATCAGATATGCTGTCCTCTCACCTCCAGAGCGGAGCAGCTGTCTAGTGTGCAGTACACACTTCCTAAGACAGCAGGAGGTGACCGGGCAGACTTTTGGAGGTTTCGTGGTCTGCGCAGCTCCAAGAGGAACCTAAGGAAAAGCAGAGAGGACCTCTCTGCCCAGCCTGTCCAGACCAAGTTTCCTGCCTATGAGAGAGTGGTACTCCGAGAAGGTAAGAACTTGGTCTATCAGTAATTTATGATTTAATATAATTTAAATTACAGTATCTATTTCTTTTCTTATTTTGATTGTTTATTTTGTACTGATTTTCTTATTTATACTTACGTATTGTTATTTTGATATGACAGTTTACAGAAACATACTCTATTCCATGGCCTGCTCTTTGTTTTAGATTTTACTAATTTCTGCTTACTTGACCATTTAACCAAGCCTGAAGGAATGTCAGTGCTTTTTTTACACTGACTTAATGTGCTCTGTTACTCTTACATGATTAGCTGGTTTTCTGAGACCTGTGGTAATATTCGGTCCCATTGCTGATGTTGCACGAGAGAAGCTTTCAAGGGAGGAGCCAGACCTATTTGAACTTGCAAGTGAGTAGGATTCATTTATTTTATGTACTGTATCAAATGTATGATATCTGCTGTTTACCACAGAAAGCTGTGTTTACTCTGTATAGTTCCATGAATTATTTAAGCCTGGTTGAACTGAACATCACATGGACTGTAACTTTAATGGTCATCGAACAAAATTGCACTTTAAACTTGTGTTCACGTCAATCTTCAGAGAGTGAGCCCAGAGATGCTGGCACAGACCAGCGCAGTTCTGGAATCATCCGTCTCCATACCATTAAGCAGATCATTGACCGAGTGAGTATCTGGGCCACTTAATTGCGTGTTTACAGGGCAGTTTCATTCTTGACACCTAAATATCCTTCTGCTTAACTTTCCATCTGGTCTCAAGTGTTCTGTTTCTTTTTTTTAGGATAAACATGCAGTGTTGGACATCACCCCTAATGCTGTGGACCGTTTGAACTATGCCCAGTGGTACCCCATTGTGGTATTCCTGAACCCTGACAGCAAACAGGGTGTAAAGAATATGAGAACCAGGCTCTGCCCTGAGTCCAGAAAGAGCGCGAGGAAACTGTATGAGCGTGCTCTGAAACTGAGGAAGAACAACCACCACCTTTTCACAAGTATGTGCAACAGAAGAGAGGGAGAGAGGGAGAGCAACAGAAGTGTTGTTAAACTGAATGATAATATATATTTGCTGTCTAAAATAAGACTTTAGCAAGAGGCAACCACCATTCTTGGCTTTACTACATGTGTATTTTAGCAGTTTTACATGATCTAGCATGGCTGTATTGACTATTTTTCTCTCTCTCAAATTAGCCACCATTAACTTAAACAACATGAACGATGGGTGGTATGGTGCTCTGAAAGAGACCATCCAGCAACAGCAGAACCAGCTGGTCTGGGTTTCTGAGGGCAAGGTAAGCACATCTAGATTCAGATCTACAATAAATGACTTGCACCAGGGCAGAGCTGTGGCTGTTTGCCCTGTAGTTTGTTTATCCATTATCTCTCAAAACAAATCTTATAGGTTATAACTGCTTGATTGAAGCTGTAGCGCAGGAATGCATTTAGATTTAATTAACTTACTAAATTAAATAACCTACTAAATTAAATAAAATTAACTTTATAAATAAAATTAATTTTATTTAGATTTCTTAATGAATTTACATATAATTTTGTACTACTGGCTGCATGAAGATCCACTAGTATATCACCACAACAAGCAGTGACATAAGACAATAACAGAAAAGACTACGACCTGAATACCTAAAAGGTGCTGACCTGAATACCTAAAAGGTGCTGAAGAGAACATGCACTCTTTCTTTAATGCTGTGTGTGCCGTTGTGCTTGATGTCTACATTGTTTTCTAAAGAATAGTTGGTGATAACACCCCAAAGACTAGGTTCCAGGACCTAAAGTAAGCCTAGTCTTGGATTAAATTGATTTGACAGTGAATATTACTCATTAATTCTTTTTATTCTAGGCTTATTCTTTATTCTAGCTGTTTCTTGGCTCTGATAGTGATTTAAAGGGCCTAGGATTTAAATTAGCTTTAATTTTAAGCAAATGGAAGTTGTTTGGTAATTTTAAAGGACCTAATTTATTTCTATTTTTTATATTATATCTGCCGTCTGAAGAATAATGAGAGGTTGTAACATGGTTGTGTAAACATGAATTTTGGCGCTTTGTAGTGCATAAAACCACAAAGGGGAAAAAATAAACAAAAAGAAATTGTATGTATGAAAAAATCTATTGGTATATATTCCATAAAACCGATTTATTAATTTGTCTTATGTCTAAATGTTATTCATTAGTACTTTTTAGATACCCTAGAGTTGTAACCATGTAGCCATTGATGCTGAGAATGGTCATTAGTAATACTTTCACGCATCTTCACATTCCTTTACCATCCCAGGCTGACGGAGCTCAAGAGGATGACCTGGACATCCATGATGACCGCCTCTCCTACCTCTCGGCACCAGGCAGCGAGTACAGCATGTACAGCACGGACAGCAGGCATACCTCTGACTATGAGGACACGGACACAGAAGGAGGCGCTTACACAGACCAGGAGCTAGATGAGACTCTAAATGATGAGGTGGGCTTACCCAGTGAGCCTGCAATCACACGCTCTTCAGAGCCTGTACGAGAGGACCCACCTGTCATCCAGGATGCTCCTGGGTACCCCAGCTACCAGCACGCTGTGCCCCAGCCTGAGCCCCTGAATCGCATTGACCCTGCTGGATTTAAGATGCCCGCTCCACAGCAGGTACGCTACATGATCTATAGCGGGTTGTGTGTGGTGTGTTTTTGGTGTTTGTAATGCATAATTATAATTGTTCACCTTGTTACTCGTTTTAGCATAAAATATTAAAGTAATTAATGTCCAATACCTGTTTTTCAGTGCATTATAAGTTCTAATACTTGGTTTTCTTTTTTTTGATGACCACGTGTTGTGAAATGAATTTGCTGTCGATGATATTAAGTTATGGGCTACGTGCCAAAGGTCATGTTGAAATTTTTCAATCCTGAATAAGTGATTTGGCAGTTCGGAGCTGCCACATGCTCAGTTCATGTGAGAACTAGTGTAAAGCATAAAGGGCAGTGTGTGACGGTCTGTGTGTGTGTGCTTATAGGAGTGTGCTGTTGGTGGCGTGTGTCTGTAACCTTTCTGCCCCGTACTCCACAGCAGGCTGAGGCTACTGTGGCCTTGCCCTCCTTTCCCTCTGCAGCGGCGGCAGCAGCAGCACCCCCTGCTGTTGAGCCCGCCACACCACTAGCGGGTATGACCCCCGAGGAGCCACCTGGCACCCCTCAGGCTGACTCCCTTTACAGCCCCGCCCCAGAACCTGACCCCCAGCCCGACCCTGAGCTCGCTCAGCCCCCAACACACGACCCCCACCAGTCGCTTCCGCCTGGCCCAGATCCAAAGGTACCACCACCACTGGCACCGCCAGAAGCTGGACCCGGTCATGGCCCGGTTCGGCCCCGCTCGCTCACTCTCTTTAACCTGCCTGTCTCTCGCACATGCTTTTTATTTTTTTCCTCCCACTCCGCTGTCTGCATGAGTGCTGTGCCCACCCACGCGTGTGCTGTGTGTGCCTCCGACACCTAGAGAGTGTGGGTGACTTGGTACACATGCACCACGATGGGCCTGTTTGAGGAAAAGGGAAGAGGGCCTGGTGCATCTGTGTCTAAATGATCCCAGAAGAGAGGCCTCTCACAATCAGTCTCTTCACTGTCTCCTCTACTATCTCTTCTTGCATGGCTCCTGATGGTTGAATTTTTTTTCAGCTTGTCCTGTCTTTAGAAATAGTAAATAGCAGTAGCAAGTAGTAGCATCCATTTTGCCACAGTAGAGTAGTTGCACTGGTAGGCACTGTAGATATCGTAGCAGTAGAATGAGAAATTGCAAAAGGAACTTTACCTGATTTGCAAGAATGGACCTCTGTAGATGCATGTCAGCCTAACCTGCAGACAGTATTTTTAACAGTGTAAAAGGGATTCATGTAATTTATTCTGCATAATGTCTTCCCAGTTGCTTTTTTAAATGTACAATGAAGACTTTATGTAGTCACTGCTGTTACTTTGTAATTGGGTAATTTATAACAGGCGCTGGACCTTTTACAGTTTTACTGTCTTCAGGCTACCTGTAAAAAGTTTGAAAAGGGGCCTTTTGGACACGAATAATTAATTGATATTGCATCAAATTTAAATTTAGTATGCTTAAGATACTCAGCAGACTCAAGATATTTGAAATGGATATTCAGCCTGATATTTGTGTTCACATCAATACTGAAAGGCTTCTTATCAAATTACAGAAGTATATAACTGATAAGATTGTCTGCTTGTTAATTGCATATTGACCACAACGGATTAAATGTTTTTTTGTTTTTTTTTAAATGCGGGAGTGTGATTTATTAAATACTTTGGACAACCCGTTCTGTTGAACCTGAGAGAATTTTAATTGTGCACTTTGTTTTACAGTTCTTCATTTTCTTTTCAAACTTGGATGTATTTATTTTATAGATTGAAGTTTATTTCCTTTAGTGGGGTGGTGAATCAAAGTATAATTCTGCACTCTGTTCCAGGTCTCTCAGGCACTTATGTTGTTTCATGTTGTTGTGTTCCCTACAGATGTATAAGAAGGATCTGTACAGCATGGATGAAACTGTGCGAGTGAACCACGGGATGAAGCCCCAGCAGCAACCGCAGCAGCAGCAACAACAGTCTTTAGCTCCCCCAACGTCTCTGTCCTACAGCCACCAGCCTGTCTACCAGGACAAACAGCCATACCGCGAGTACGACCACCCGCCTTACGGCTATGATGGTGGCGGCTATGCTCAACCAAAGCCTCATAACTATGACCCACACCTGCACTACGACAACCGTGTGCCTCACTACGATGAACAGTGGCCCCACTATGACCAGCAGACCTCGTCCCAGCCTCCACCCCCTGGACCTGGCTTTCCTCAGGGCCACCAGCCGCCGCCTCCTCCTCCTCCTCTGAGCTATGATCCTCGTTCCCCCTACGAGGACGGCCCCACACGGGACTATAGTCCCCCTCAGCCCCGCTATGACGAAGCTCCTTTGGGTTATGATAACCGGTTGCGACATGGCAAACCAGGACCTGTTCGCTATGATGAGCCCCCTCCTCCTCCTCCCCCAGTCACATACGATGCCCGCTCTCCTTATGAACCAGAGCCCCACACTTTCCCCATCAATGCCCCCCGATCCCCTGACCCTCCAAAGCAGTATTATGGAGATGCTTCAATGAGACCGTCATATAATCCAGGGCCTCCGAACCGTGGCTACAAACCAGGGCAGCATGAACCTTTGAATTCAGAGCCTCCGGTTCCACCACCTAAACCAGAAGTTCTGCTGTCCCCAGGAGAGCCTGTCCATTCTGCAGCTTCTAAACCCCTGCCCCCTCCTCCCAGAGAAGACCCAGAGGAGGATCCTGCCATGAAGCCCCAGTCTGTTCTCAACAGGGTCAAGATGTTTGAGAACAAGCGCTCTGTGTCTGTTGACAGAGCTAAAGAGGCTGGAGATCTGCCAGGGATCAGGGTATAATAATGTCTTACTTGCATGAATTAGAATACCACTTTTAGCCATTATAATTGAACATGTACACTGTAGTACAGCTTTTTTAATCTGTGAGAATGTCAGATTTGTATAAAACTCTGAAATCGTTTTTGTTGTGACTAAACGGAAATCATCTTGTGCAATAGCCCACTGACCTCCCCAAACCTGCGAGTGCCCCTGGCCCTGTGCTTAAAGCCAACTCCCTCAGCAACCTAGAACAAGAAAAACCTGCGTACAGGTAACTAACACAAGCCCCATTACATGTAAAAATCTAGATCATGATTGTGTTCCCCTTTTTAATAAATAAGAACAAATACAGTAAAATGATTCTTAAAATGTTAATATGGGTTAACAATATTTATGGCATGAACTCTTCTGTTTTCCACTTGATTTAGCTTTAAGTGATGTGTAACACAAGGAATCGTGGAGCTCCCCCTGGTGGCTCTCATCTGACCTTTCTCAGTTTGATTGTTATTATTTCTCATTATTACATCCCTCTACCTCCATCTCTCCCTCCCTCACGCTCTCTCCATAGGGCTGAGCCACAGAAGCCCCAATCTAGATTAGGAGAGGAGGTGGTCCGCTCTAACCACTATGACCCTGATGAGGATGAGGAGTACTACAGGAAACAGCTGTCATACTTTGATCGCCGCAGCTTTGACAACAAGGCCATGAATCAGCCAGGAATCAACCGCTTTCATGATCTGGCTAAACCTTCACAGAATCAGTTAGCATACCCCTACAACAGGTAAAATATACAGTCCTCAGTGGCATTTCCCATGTATTGTGAACTTGCTTGTATACCTTTTGTAACATATATAAATATTTTGTCTTTTAGGACAGAATCAGTTGATGTGGATAAGAGATATGAGCCATTGCCACCAATCAACTCTTCAGCTGCTCCTTACGGCCAGTCAGGACCTGCTGTTCCCCCCACGTCTCTACCCAAACTCACCAACACTGAGGGTGAGAGCTAAGAACATTCTTAAGCATGCACTCTTAAACAGTGTAGCATTTGAATTGGGCGCAATGTAATATTACATAAACATTTATACGGACCATATTTTGCTCTCACTGAAACTGTAATTTGTGTTTGAAGTTATGACCTCAAAATGATTTATACTCTGCTTGTAATTCTCAGTCAACTCCCTACCCGATCACCACAACTCTCCCAAAAGCAAACCGGATCTGTCTACTCTCCGTCCTCCTACCCGGGATGACACAGTCCAAGCCAACTACCTTCCCCAAAAATCTCCAGTTAATGGCACTGACATTCCTCCCAAGACTCTGGGTGCCCCTGCTCCCGCCAGCTATAACCGCTACGTCCCAAAGCCTTATACAAGCTCTGCAAGACCATTCGAGCGCAAGTTTGAGAGCCCCAAGTTCAACCACAACCTTCTCCCCAATGACTCGCAGGCAAAGCCCACTATTGTGAACAACAACCCTAAAACTCACCTCTCACCCCAGCCTCTGGAGTCAGACAGTGGTGTGGACACATTTACTCGCACGATGGACAACAGGCCCAAATATCAGCACAACAATGTCAATGCTATCCCCAAGGCTATTCCTGTCAGGTAAAAGGCTTCACAATTTTTTGATTGATTGATTGATTGATTGATTGAGATCAAGCTGAAATGGACAAAATACACCAACAAAATAGCAGCGCCACATTTTTAAAAAGGCCATGAAAAACTATAAATATAAAATGTATAATGACATTTTAAAAATTCAGCATTTAAGAAGAAATAGTAGAAATGGAACAGTTGATAAAAATAAATGAATAAAACACGATAATGTATAATGGGCTGACATCCCATAAGCTACCTGTTAGTGTGCAGTTTATGCAGATGCTGGTTATTGTGGTTCACAGGCTGTCTGTAAGTGGTCTTTATCTTTTTACGATATATGCAGTTATTCAGTGTTTTAGATGTACTGATGATACCAACCAACTGGTTAAGGTAGTGCACCATATTCCCTGTCTCTTGTATAAATTGGAACCAGATGGACAAAACAAGGATGTATAGTGCATTAGCATCCTCACACTTTCTTCAGTGAGTGACTGATCTTTTCATTACAGCCCCAGTGCACTGGACGATGATGACGATGATGAAGGGCACACAGTAGTTGCCACAGCACGGGGCATCTTTAACTGTAACGGTGGGGTGCTGAGTTCAATAGAGACAGGGGTGAGCATCATCATCCCTCAGGGGGCCATTCCAGAAAGTGTGGAGCAGGAGATCTACTTTAAAGTTTGCAGGGACAACAGCATCCTGCCTCCGCTGGACAAAGAGAAAGGTCTGCATTCTTTATTACGTAACGCATTACAAGCTGCATCTCACTGTTCTTTCTAGCGTGTCATTCTGAATGTTTAAATAATGAATGAAAGAGCAGTAACAGACTAATAGGATCCTGGTGCACTTTGTTTTATAGGGTCTCTGAATAACCTCACACATCTTACATTTCACAGCCATGTTTTTAGCCGTCATGATTGGTGGGTATCGTTCAGGGCTGACCTCTTTAATCTGTGTCCCTGCAGGTGAAACTCTGCTCAGCCCCCTGGTCATGTGTGGGCCTCATGGTCTGAAGTTCCTGAAGCCGGTGGAGCTGCGCCTACCACACTGTGCGTCTATGACTCCTGATGGTTGGTCTTTTGCTCTAAAATCCTCCGACTCCTCGTCGGGTACGCTGTCCTTTCTCTCTCTGGGCTTTTGGGTTTCTTTTGTTCTTGAACGTGATTGTTGTGGTAGTGGTAAAAATTAATGTTGGTGGTTGTGGGGTTTCTTCCATTTTCTATTTCTTGAAAGGCTCTTCTCTTCCTTCTGCTCGTGTTGTCTCCCTTGCTGCCTTGGCTACCCGAATTTGTGCTTGTTAAGCACAAAGACGTTTCTTAATAGTATCTACCTTTTTTATCCTTTTACAAGTGAATTCACAGGCTGAACTGAGGAAACACAAAACTGTTAATTATATGTCTCAAAAGGCCCTATTCACACTTGGTATTAACATCAATCTTAAGTGATCTGATCGTAAGAGAATAGCGAGATGTGTTGCTGTTCACACCTGGCATTTCCATGTCTCTCAAAGGTACCTCCAGTGATCAGATTGCATGACTGGTGGAAGCGAGGGTACCAGCCACATTTACTACGCCAGTATCTGCTGCTTTTGCTGTCAGACAAAAATGTACATCGAGTCAGTGTTCATATAAATAAAAGGGCTGTTATAAACGTTTTCCGGCCATGTGAACCGCTAACGCAGCTTGTAAACAAATAGTAGAGGCAAAAAAATAAGCTATGCAGCTGGTTTTGACTGTGCTGTGATGATGCAGCTGATTGAGGCAGTCCTTCTGTGTAAGATGCATCAAGATGCTTTAGCATTCACACTGTACATGTTAAGTGGTCATATGTGCCTCTGACCACCTCCGAAGGTGTTTTGAGTGATTGGATCACAATGAGTCAAGATGCGTTGTACCCTGTTCACACCTGCACCTAATGCACTTAAGATCAGATGACCCAGAACAAGTGTGAATGGGAAAGAAAGTAAACACGTTCATTCACAACAACTCACTATTTATTAATTCCAAAAGGCAGCACTTGGACACAGCATGACCCTGAAAGCCCTGCGGTGTAGTCCTGTGTTATAGCTTTGCATTCTCTTCACTGACCTCTTGATTTCCCTGCAGGTGACCCCAAATGCTGGCAAAATAAATCTCTCCCAGGGGACCCCAATTACCTGGTGGGCGCTAACTGTGTGTCTGTGCTCATTGACCACTTCTGAAGAGGACGACAGCTGGTCTGTTACTGAATGTGAAAGCGTCAGTGGAGAACATGAGGAAGACTCCTCTCTTCCCCTTCATCCCTGCTCTGCTCCTCCCTGGGGATTTGCTTGACTCCATGAAGGAGTTATATATTTTTTTTCCTCTAGTTTTTGCAGATGGAATTCATTGTGCCCCAGAATATTGGAGGACATGGAGAGCACCTCCTCCTGGTGCTGAATCCCTGCAACCCCCCCCCCACCTCTTCTTTTCTTTTGGTGCTTGAAGGCTTGCAAAAAATGACAGAATACATTAATTCTTTAAGTGAACTGTTAATAGAATGCATGACCAGTGCCACAGACAGACTGAAATAATCCCATTTTGACATTTGTAGCCTCTTCTCCAAGTAATTAAAAAAGACATTTCAAGTGGAACATGGAAATAAATGACATCAAATAATTCAGTCTAAATATTGCAATTCTGTATGCTCCCAAACAAAAAAGTTGATGTATGCAGAACTTTTTTGTTTGTGAGGTCTGTGGTCATGTGTGTGGGTGGGTCTGTGTGTGTGTGTGCGTGTGAGGATCTGTGTGGATCTGCAAAAGTCTGAGCCTACTCTTCTGGGACTTCAGAATGAAGGACAACTGAAGGACATAAAGATGATGACGTGAAGGAAACGCTTTTGAAGGATTGGGACTTTTTCCACTCATTGCTGATGGACTTCCTTCTCTGGCTTAGAAATGGGCTCCATTTTTTTCAGACCTTTTCTAGCGATGTTTTACCATAGATGAACACACTGACATTGACTTTGGTTTTCCAAAACTCCTGCTGTCTAGAGATCTATGCATGTGCTATGACTCAGGTCCAGAAGCCTGCTACTAAGTTCAGAACACAAACGTTCCCATCTTTACACTGCGAGCAGTGATGCCTTATCTGCATATTAACTTTAATTTAACGAAAGACATGCAAAAGTCAGATTTAAGTTTTAGAGTGACACTTTGAAGGATATTCAATTTCTCTCACCATCTTTAACCCATTCTGTCAGTGGACTTTAGCACACAAATAATCAAGGCTAATGAACAGGTATGCTTTATTTTACTGCTATGCATATGAAGTCAAAGGATATACAAAACACTAGGATATGTTTAAATTATGGCTGTATATACCGCTAGCCTATGGCCTTGGTTTGCTGTAAATGACCTTTTGTACATTTGTTATTTTGTATAAAAAGTTAAGATGGAGGGGGGAAAAAAATGCTTAAAAAAAAAAGAAAAGAAAAACCTATTACATTGGTTATGTTTATATTACAGTTATACCCCTGAGCCTTGGAACTAAAGTTAGCAGTAATGAAAAATTTAAAATAATAATAATAAAAAAGAATAAATAACTTTTCTACCAACATATACACAAACTCTACTTAACGGCATTTTTAACAGTAAGAAAACAAAACATTTTTATTCTTATTTACAACATAGGAAAGTGCTCGGTTTAAATAATTTAATGACTCTGTACTTCAGAAGGGTCCACTGTGGTGAGTGGTCCCCTACTTTATTTGTGATACTGGATGCTGTATTGTGTGCCCTGAAATGTATTTTTGTACTAGTAAACAATTTATTAAGGCACATCAGTACTATTTTCTTTTGATATAATGCAGCTTCAACCCAACATTAGTTTCTTTTTCTTGTGTGGCTGAATTTTTTTTTTTCCATTTGTTTTTTCTTTTCTTTTTTTTTCTTTGCAGCACATTTCTAAGTATACCACTGTATTATTAAATAAATTCATTTTTAAAGTAATGTCAGGCTTCTAATGTCAGCACTGTGCACATATGTTTGGATTGTGCTTGTTGTGAAGGGTGCAAAGGTTGTTTAAAAGCTATCTCTCTGTCTCACATATTGACCCAAATACTGGTTCAAAAGGGCACTGGTTCCAGCACACCTGATAAATGCTTATATTCAGAGATTAGTTTTGAAGGTGAAAGATGGTCATAGACCCTGCTCCTCATCTGACCCCTACAAACGAGTTGAGTCATTATTACAGGAGTGTGCTGATAAAACAGGGCTTATCATGGCAAACCAATCTGAGGCAGCTGCTAACATCATGACTGCACAGAGTAATTTCTCACTTAAACTACTCAAGTTTCTTACACGGAAGTATATTTATTGTCAGTAAGACAACAGATGACGTACTTTATTATTGCATCACATTAAACATAACTTTTTATTACAGTTATTCTCACACCATAAAACATTGCTTACTGAATTGGTCCATTGATTAAAAAAACTGACAGAAACGACAAATCACTGCTATATTCCCTGAGATTAGTTTGCAGTTATTTTACTATTAGTTGTTATTCTTATTTTTCACAAGGCACATGAAAACAAGTGTTAAGAAATGTTTACAAATTAAAAGTTTGAACATCTGTACACTTCCAGGCTTACAGTTTAATTTCTCCTGCCAGCACTGAGTTATAAATATCCTGAGTGAGGGGAATGTATTTCTTCTGAGCCAAATCAAGGAAATACAGAGGATCCTGTATGAGAGCTGGATCAAAACCTTCTGCCACTAGTTTCACCTTTTTCAATTTGAAGGTTCCTGTCATTTCCAAAGAATTCTGTAAGACAAACACGCTTTAATGAGACATCTGCATTTGCGACTGAAAGTAATGCGAGCAGTCATACTGAATTTTAACACTGTTCATCTCACCTGAATGCGAATGAAATAAGGTCTGGCATAAACTGGAAGCAAACTGGATAAAACTCTACACGTGTCAACACAATCAAACTCTTTTCCCTCTGTTAGTGTGACGGCTGCCATCCCGATCCTTCCCTCATGCCCTTGTGAAGGAATAAATTAAGACACTGCATGTGACATCTATACAACCATCAGTGAAATGTTAATATTTTATCAAACTGTCAAACAAACCATTCTGCCACCATTCTTAATGTTTACCTTTGACCGTAACACCATAGACATTTGCCTCCTCAATGCAATCCACCATTGTTAGAATGTCTGATACCTCAGTTGTTGCTACATTCTCTCCTTTCCATCTGTAAGTAATGCCAAAATAATAATCAGCTCAGTCTGTTGACGTCAGTGGGGCAAAACATGACGCATGTGTGCCACTGAGGGGTGAGGAATTTCTAGTAGATTTTCATTTCGTAGACAGAATCAGGGTAAAATACCTGAAAGTGTCTCCAACGCGATCCTGAAAGTAGACAAAGTTTTCGTGATCTATCTTCAGCAAATCCCCACTGTTGAAATACAGATCTCCTTTAACAAAGACATCTCTGAGCCTCTTCTTCTCTGTCTGCTGCTCGTTTCCAGCATAACCAACAAAGGGAGACTTTTTGGTGATTTTCCCAACCAACAGTCCAGCCTCACCTGCAGGACAATTTTCATCAGTACAACTGGAATGACCAGGATAAACCAATGTGGTATTGTGTGTGGGCTATACGTGTCTTACCACAGCTAATCATTTGAATTGACTTTTACACTGAACAGCAGAAGGTGACTGACCTTGAGCAGCTCGAACACAAAGTCCATCTGCATTCCTCACAGGCTCTTCTTTCTCGATGTCAAACTTGATGAGGGCGTAGGGGAACAGATTCTAAACAAACACAACTGAAAATTAGCTCCATCTAAATGTGAGGTCTCCTGTTTTAAATAGCATTTGGACATAGTAAGGCCTTACCCTGTGGAGGACATTAACACGGCCCACCACGCCGACCTTAGAGGTGTAGTTAATAAAGCCGATGTTTCCCTCTGTGGCAGCGTAGAGCTCCCTGACATAAATATTCCCAAAGCGCTTCAGGAATTCATTCCAGACATCAGCTCGTACACCATTACCTATAGCAATCCTCACCTTATGGTCTTTGTCATTGTCTTTCTGTTAACACGAAACACAATGTTTACTACTTACACGGGTGTTATCTCAGCAAAGTACCATCAAATCATTTTAAGAAAATCTAAGCCAACAACATGCAGCCTTAAAGTGAGAAGAGATTTCCCTGTATTGGTGTAAATTACAAAGGAGGACAAAATACTGACCTTTGGTGTATTGCAGAGGTAACGCATTGTTTCCCCAATGTACTGCATCACTGTAACATTATACTTTCTGCAGTCATCCCAGAACTGAGAGGCAGAAAATTTCCGCCGCAGAACCACAGAATTCCCTAAAAAAAAGGTACAATGTCACATATGAACAGGACTTACTGATCACATTCACACTCACATATTACACAACATTATATATTCTGTAAGAATATATACAAGAATTATAATCTAGATAGATCGGCTGCAATAATATATCCAATATATCTATATAATAATATAAAAAATATACTCCTATATTCTAAAAATAATACTGTTGCAACACATTGTGGCTTAACATTGTTGAATTAACATTTACTGAAGTTAATAACATTTTCATTCTATAAAGTTCTTATTTCAGAGATATCATGTGTTCTTACGACAGTGACAACATAATACTGTATTAAATGGGAGAGGAATTAAAGACCTCAGGAAAGAATGAAACCTTTACCTCGTTCAATACAACCAGTAAGTCCTATTAGAAACCCAGCACTGTGGTAGAAGGGCAGATTTATGTAAAACACATCGTCAGCGGTGACTCCAGAAACACCCTGAATAAAGGACGCTGCCCACACCCTCTCCTGAGTAATCAGAGCTGCTTTAGGGAGACCTGCACCCAAATCAAGAGGCGTTTTTATATATGTATATATATATATATATATATATATATATATATATATATAGAGAGAGAGAGAGAGAGAGAGAGAGAGAGAAAGAAATTCCTTATACGTCATGACCTTGACAAAATTTAAAATATTCTGATTCTGATTTAACCTATTCCGTCTGTTACCTGTCGTTCCGGATGTGTAGATGTAGAGAGCTGTGCTCTTAGGTTTAAGATTGGCTCTGACTGATGGTGACAGAGGTTCATCTGATGCCTGTTTGATGGCCTGAGAGATGTTCTTAATGCCATCTGTGCTGCACTCATCACTGAGAAGGTACACGCAGATGCCCTTCTCTTTTAAAGCAGGCAAAATCTCTTCCACAGCACCACGGAGCTCTGCAATAACACAACACACATGCTGAACAATGCAAACCTACACAGAACATAAAGACAGAGCAGGTGCTCTCAGTGCAACAGCATGCCCCCTCTTAAACCCCTGAGGGCCTACATGGACCCAACCATCAGTTCTCTCTCATCACTACACAACTCACAGACTAGCTTCACAGCAGTTACTGAACAATGTGTACTAGTTACTGAATAGTAAATCTTGGGATTAATAAGTGAATAATAAGCCTGTAGTTTAAGGGGAACTCCACCAATTTTCCAAAGTTCTGCAGAATTAAATAATTAGGATGTAAACAAAGTAGTTCAAAGTGGTTTGGTATGAAATGCTCAGTTCTAGAGAAACTTACTGAATCAGAATTGTTCACAGTGGTGGTGATAGGAACCAGAAGTCTGAAGAATTTAATGCCTGGAACCTCCCTCACAGAAAGTCATCATAAAAAGTACACGGCCTGATGCCTGAGACACTGTCTGATGATAGTTTCATGATACGATTTTGGCCTAAAACGTCCTGTTAATCCATTTATTTAACCCATTCATGGTGGTGGAACATAAGCAGGGCGTTGTGAGGCAAAATAGTCCTGAATGAAAACTTTTTTCCCAGATTCTTCCCTATTTTACCATAATCAAAATTACATATAAAAACTCAGAATGCACGTGTAGATTCACGGGAGGTTTCGGAGAGTAAATAAAAAGGCTACATTTGTGTTGTATACTTTGAGACCCCTGGTTCCTATCATCACCGCTGTAAAGAAATCAGAGTCACTAAGTTTCTCTACAATGAACCACCTCACACCACACCACTCTGAATGAATCTGTTTCCATCTCAAGGACTGAATCATTCAGAAATCTGGAAAAATCGGTGGAATTCCCCTTTAAGGGATTAAGAACTGTGCAGAGAACTGTAATAAACGAGCTGCTATTAAGATCCACAAGTGAGAAAAGGGTTAACGCTGTCAGATGAGACTGTCAGCTGTATCTGCTGCTGGTTTAATCATTGACTGAAGTTGATCAAAGAACCTGCGCTTCTCGGGGTCTAGGCCGTGCAGCAGAGAGCAGAAAAAGCAGTCACGTGTGCGCGGATCATGCAGAAAACACTACAGTGGTGGTCGACCTGTTTAACAGACGTGTTACCTTCGGCTGCGATCAGCACGCGCGCGCCGCAGCAGGAGAAGCAGTGCAGAAGCGATTTGGATCGGATGTTGAAGTTGAGCAGAGCAGCAGCGCAGCCTAACTTGGCTAAGCCGAGCCAAGTCCAAGCAAAGCAGGGCTCGTTCCCCAAAAACATGGCAACCGTGTCCCCCTCTTTAAGACCAACCACGGCCCTCAACGCGTGCGCAACCTTGTTGCTTTCCCTGTCCACATCCGAGTACGAGTAGGTCTTTCCCTCGAAGTGGATGAAGGGCTTGAGCGGGTGTCTCCTCACGGAGTCTAGGAAACAGTCCAGGATGCTGTAGAAAGGAGTTCTCCTCTTGTACATTTCTAACCTGATTCCGAAGCGCGCCGCTCTAAACATGTAGACGCAGTCCTGGAGAAGGTATGGACACAGGGTCTTCAGAAGAGCCGGCAGCAGAGCCAGCCCGGCCAGCAGAGTGAACCACACGTACATGTTTAAGCTGAACGAGCTGCGGCGCTGAAATGTTCATGAGAAAACTCGGGCCGTAGCGCAGCTCTGCGGGGCTTAAACTTCCTAGAGCGCATATAGGCACAAGTTCAGGGCTTTAGGGAGCCAAAGGGATTCCATCACACAGCCACGCCCCCCGCCCCCGCGTTCTATAACCACGACCCCCGCAGCCTCAGCGTTCTTTAGCCCCGCCCCCCCGTGTTTCACAACTCTGTATACCAGATTGAACCGCAAATCCATTTCCAAGTAGAAGATGCAGACGAAGCTGATGATCTCTGGTGAGGTGCAGTCTAGAGACGGACTAAAGTCAAAGCACGGGATCTGCTTTTTCCCTGACAAAACTGCTTTATGTGGAGGAGGATTTTTTCCTGCCAGCTGTATTTGGTAATTATAGCTTATTAACACAGAAGACACTCTCATTCAAAAGTTTGAACATCCCCAGACAAATTCCGTTTTCTACGCAAAATAAGTTAACAATCCTTTGCAAGGAAGACAATTAAATAAGGCATTCATTTGCTGAGCTTGACACAGTGTAGTGTCCTGCTGTTTATTTGCTGAGTTGAACAGTGTAGTGTCCTGCTACCGGCTGGTACTGGCACCCAGAGACTCTGGAGGTGTGGCTACGCAGATGGCCACATGCAAAATGGTATAAACCCTCCAACATAGGGACTATATGTTGTTGCTTATGTTGTTAGCTGTTAGTTTACTTCTTAACTCCAAACAGCACTGGCCATAATGTAGACAATGTTGGCTTTAGACGTCTTTCCTGTCTTTTAAGGCAAACATTTGAGAATATTATTATGTACAATCCCATTTCCAAAAAAGTTGAGACGCTCAGCAGTGTAAATAAAAATGGGATGCAATGATTTGGAAATCAATAACAGTGATCATTGTGTATATGTGGCAGACAGTGGTGTCTGTGTGGGTAAAACAGGATTGTTTTGGCATCTTGTAGTGATGTTCTTACCCTCTCAGTGACATACATGACCATTCTTGACAACATCTTAGCTGAAGAATTAACTCTGTTTCATTTTAGACATTTTTGTGAAGAATAGAAGAACACAGTAAGTCTTTAGCAAAACAAAGACCTTTTCAGCAGATCGTCTGAGGTTATCAGTGGGTTCGTGGAGCACTATGGCTCTAACGCCCAGAGTCACCGCAACAGCTTAGTCCTGCTCTGATTTATAAAATACTACAAAGACAACATATCAAATGTTCAAACTGAGAAATTTTGTTTTTTGAAAAATATATGCCCATTTTTGATGCCAACAACACATTCCAAAATAGTTGGGACAGGGGCATGTTTACCACTGTGTTTCATCACCTCTTCTTTTAACAACACTCTTATTTTATATTTTATAACCCTCCAAATGTTTTCAGTGGTGACAGGTCGGGACTGCAGGCAGGTCAGTTTAGCACCCAGACTCTTTTACTATGGAGCCATGTTGTTGTAATACATGCAGAATGTAGTTTGACTTTGTCTTGCTGAAATAATCAAGGCCTTCCCTGAAAAAGACGTCATCTGGATGGCAGCATATGTTGCCAAAACATGTATAAATCATTCAGCATTAATGGTGCCTTCAATGATGTGCCAGTCACCCATGCCATGTGCACTAATGCACCCCTACACCATCATGAATGCTGGCTTTTGAACTGTGCACTGATAACAAGCTAAGGACACTTTTCCACTTCACCTCAGTCCACTTTAAATGAGCTCGGGCCAGAGAAGGTGACAGCATTCCTGGATCCTGTTTATATCTTGTTTCTTCTTTGCGTTTTTGAGTTTTAACTTGCACCTGTGGATGCAGCAACGGACTGTTTTTACAGACAGTGGTTTTCAGATGTGTTCCTGAGCCCATGCAGTGATTTCCACTACAGAATCATGTCTGTTTTTAATACAGTGCCGTTTGAAGGCCCAAAGATCATGGCCAGCAAATACTGGTTTTTGGCCTTGTCCCTTGCATACAGAGATTTCTCCAGATTCACTGAATCTTTTAATGATATTATGCACTGTAGATGATGAAAAGCAAAAGTTCTTGAATTGTTGTACTATTTGATCATTTAGTCTTTCACAGAGTGGTGAACCCCTCCTCATCTTTACTTCTGAAAGACTCAGCCTCTCTAAAGATGTTCTTTTTATACACAATCACGTTACTGACCTGTTGCCAATCAACCACCAGGTGTTTTTTTAAGCATTACACAACTGTACCAGCCATTTGTTGCCCCTGTCCCAACTTTTTTGGAACGTGTTGTTGGCATCAAATTCAAAATTGGCACATATTTTTCAAAAAACAATTAAATTCCTCAGTTTACAACATTTGATATGTTGTCTTTGTACTATTTTCAATTAAATTTAGGGTTTAAATGATTTGTACATCATTGAATTCTGTTTTTACGCACAGCGTCCCAGCTTTTTTGGAAATGGGGTTGTAATTTGCAGTTCAAAAGGATCACTACATTTATATATCCATGAATACAACCACTAAATTCAAACGTTTGAAGAACCTTGGTCAAATTGTGTTTTGTTGATTTTCTAAGTGAAAATAAGTTAATGATCCTTTACAGGTAACAGACTTAAATATGGCATTTATTTGCTAATTATTTGCTGGGTTTAACACAATGAAAATGAAAAAAACAACATAAAATACGTGCCCTGATTTTTGCACACGTCACTATAAATCAGAGCAGGACTAAGCTGTTGCGGTGACTCTGGGCGTTAGAGCCATAGTGCTCCACGAACCCACTGATAACCTCAGACGATCTGCTGAAAAGGTCTTTGTTTTGCTAAAGACTTACTGTGTTCTTCTATTCTTCACAAAAATGTCTAAAATGAAACAGAGTTAATTCTTCAGCTAAGATGTTGTCAAGAATGGTCATGTATGTCACTGAGAGGGTAAGAACATCACTACAAGATGCCAAAACAATCCTGTTTTACCCACACAGACACCACTGTCTGCCACATATACACAATGATCACTGTTATGGTGTGTGATTAAAATGATTAATATTTAACCATTTCAAATATTTAAAGTTTGTCATATACTTGTAGTGCCACCTCTGATACTTGTTACTTGTTTCTCCACCTGACTGCAACTCAAATAACTTGAAGGCTTTACTTTTTACATATATTTTTTAAAAACCCTACTTACAACTGGAAAAGGTGCTGCAAAGTCATATGCTTTCAGTTATGATTAACGGTGCATCAAGACAGGTACTTCTGAAGTGTTTTAGCAGGCTAGTAAACTTTAATTATAAAAATCTCATTGCAGTAAAAAAAGAAAAAAAAAACATAAATACATATGAATATTCAGTCAAAGCACAGTGATAAAACATTTGAACAGACAAGCAGACACCATTTTATTTCTGAATCAGCGACAAAGGGCTGTCAAACCCACTGTCCTGCTGGCAGATTTTCAATTCTGAGAATAAACTCTTAGGACATAGTCTATGGATCTTCTCTCCCTCAGAGCCTGGGGTTGGCTCTCTGCTCTTAGTCGATTTAAGGCCTGCACGCTGCTTGGGTTTCACATACGATGGCTTTTTAACAATCTCTTTGTAAACAGTTACATCAGAGTTATCACCTAAACAGCTTCCAAAGTCCAGATCGTCTACAGAGGGGTTCAACAGAGAGAACGGCCTCACAGGCTCTGCATTTTTGCTGGGGTAGGAGGTGGTCAGGTGAATGTTGTTGGTAAAGGTGGAGCCATTACTGGACAAACTCCAGTCGCTCTGGCCATTGTCTCGTACTGGTGCCTCTTCAATCAAGAAAGGCTCAACAGCCACCTGAGGGGTCAAACGCTCTTTGGCTTTTCCCGATTCTGTTCCCATGAGGTACATCTCTCTACTCTGCTTCCTGAATGTAACATTAGCATTGCTAACAACATCAATATGTGTGGTGTATGATGCAAAATCACCAGGCGGTTTAGGATTACACAAGAGGGGAGACACTGGGGTAACCTGTTTAGTCACTTCAGGGCCTTTACCACCATCTGCCCTCACTGATTTTTTGAAGTCCAGCTGGGTGACCTCGCCTGCAGGTGCGATTCCTCTCAGCTTGGATTTTTGGGTTGCACACTCCAATTCAGTGACGGAACAGATCTGATGGGTTTGCTCATTCTTGCAATTTTCCCGGGACTCAGTTCTGAAAGACAGGCTTTGGCTTGAGGCAGCAGCTGATACTTTGGCAGCATGGTCATTAGCAGAAGTCTCTGCATTCAGTGAGAGATCTGTGACAGAAGAGAAACATTATGAGGCACCTGAGTACAGTGCCAATGCTTCTAGTTATTTGTCTACTAAAATTAAAGTTATATTACACACACACACACACACACACACACACACACACACACACACAGAACATCTAGGTGACATTGGGTTACTGTGCTAAAATGTCAGCATTTTATTCATTTTACTGTATTTGTTACCACTTAGCAATAAATGCTACATTTTACCATAATGCTAATCAAGGTGTTTCAATTTTTACATTTTAAACATTTGTATTGACATCAGCAGATATGCACATGAAAAATATCAGAATCAGCCCACAATTATGCTTTCGCAGCAACAACAACTGCAACAACAAAAAAAACAAATAATACCTTGAACATTCTGATTTCTCTGAAGCCTCTTTTTGGCTACAGGAGTCTCTAGTACTTTGGCCATGGCAGCCAGTTTACTGGCAGCATTGATGATTTTCTTCTCGGCCCTGGCGGAAGCAGGTAACAGTAAGAGTATGATGAAGCAGTAAGAAGGAGCACCTAACACTGCACGCAGGGGTGGACCATCAAAGGAAACAAGCAACAGAAATGACAAACCAAACTCACCCAGTGGTCTGGCCTCCCTCCTCCAGCAGCTCCTGCAGGCATGTGAGGTAGTACCTGCGCATCCTCCGGGCCGTGTCCTGCCTCTCTCTCAGGACCTCCACTCTGATCAGCTCAGCAGCCCGCTCTTTGCTCTCCTGCAGGTAACGCAGCATATCACCTGCACAAAACATAGTAGGCCAGGGTTAACCTACCACAGTCTACAACCACATATACAATCAGTGTCACCAAGTAAACAAGCAATGGGGACAGTGACGTATAAAACTGTTCAGAGAAGATTTAGAGAAACGTACAGACCTCTGATTTTTTGTACAGCTTTCATATATTGCTCTTTCATTTCTTCAAGGCCAGCTTGGAGATTTTGATTGTCTGCACCACTGCAACATGTATATTACATTAATCAACCTTGGAAAGTGAAATGTAGAAACATAAGTTTTATCTGGCCAAAAAACAAAAGTACAAACCATGATTCTTTGCATGCTGACAGTTTGACCTTCTCAAGCGCTTTTGTATGGGCTTCCTTCTCTTTGCGTAGGGTTTCATCATGTTCTTCTGAGATGATATGGGGAACAAAAAAATTATTAAAGCTAGAATAGTTTTACTAATGAGATCTGTGATTTGTGAATCCAGTACGAAATTGCAGTGTCCACAGTTTTTACAAGTTGGCAAGTAGTAATGGTGGAGTGAATTAACATCTATTTCGCCAAACCCAGAACACTCTCAGTAATAGCAGTCCTGATCAAACTGACTTCATGGTAATGTAATAACCTGTGCTTAAACCACAAAACATTACCTATTGCTGCCCACTGAATACATTTAAAGGCCAGAGGTGCAGTTTATATGGCCAAAAAAAAACTGTTTGTCCAGACTAATACAACTTGTATGACAAGGAGCACTAGATACTCGTCAGTTTTTACCCTTCAAGGTGTGCAAAGTGCTCTTGTGCTCTCTGACAGTGTGCTGAAGCTGGCGGCAGGCCTTTTCCAGATGCCTCTGAAGGTCCTGATTCTTCTTTTGGAGCTTGGCCACACTTTCAGTACAGCCCTTACTGTTACACACCCCTTCCTTCCCCTGGGCCATCGTGCCTGTTGAGCAGTACATGCAAGTTAGCACTCTTCCTCAAATCATATATATATTAGGGCTGGGCGATAAAACGATAACGATAATTATCGCGATATAACTTTTCCTCGATAGAGCGATACGACATGTTCAATAAATGTTCGATATAATACACCACTCTCACACTGCCACGTTCAGCCTTGGTGGCGTTTTCTACTGCAAGGAAAGCGACACTTCTGTGCTGTCGCCAGTAGAGGGCGCACTTCCGAGTTTTTCTACATGATTAGAGAGGGAGGGGGTCACGAATGAGATGAGTCTTTAGCAACGGCTGAAACGCGGAGTTATACATTCCCTGTTTGAGTGGAGCGACCGGCGATCTGTTCTCCTGTGACCGAGTGTGAGTGACGAGGTCAGTACTGTCCTACAGCGAACTCACCTCTTTCCGTACATCCTAACCAGCTTTAGCAGCGTTAAATCACAATCCTCACAACTACAGCGCTGTTACAGCGCTCGGGCAGTCATATTTAAATTGCATTCCAAAGCAACAAAAGTGAAAGAAAGAAGTGGGTTCATGTAAATTACAGCCCTGATTTAAACGACAGTAAACTGAGGAAGCTGTGAGGCACTGGAGAGAGGGAGAGCGCTATCTTTCCAGGCTAGCTGTTTTTAGCAGCTGGCTAACTTGAAGCAGCGCTTCGTCACTTGCACGACATAGCGAATTAATGATACTGTAGATCAAACAAGACACAAAAGCACCGCTTTCAGTTTAAACATACCTAAAAGGAGGACTCCGTTTGTCTGGTGTTGATATTTTGCGGTTCACCACTTAAACTACTACAATTAAATATCCAGTCGTCGCTTCTGGCGTCTGAATACTGTGATGTCATTTGTAACGGGGTAGCCCAGCGCAAAATAGCCATGCTTTTCCAGCTGGTAAAAACAGCACACCAGACACTTTCTCCCACTCTCCCATGACAGATCTGTGAAATGTTCCACTGGTTGGTGAGTGTTTGTTGTGTTCCGACCATAAAGGATAGTTTAAAACAGCAGTTAACCCCCAGGAGCAAAAATCAGCCTTCAAGCTTGAAAGAAATAATGATTTGACATTTATCGCGATATGTATCGATATCGAACGATATAAATTTTGTTTATCGTGACAACGATATCGCCCAGCTCATATATATATATATATATATATATTATATATATATATATATATATATATATATATACACACACACACACACACACACACACACACACACACATACAATTTATTAATTTTTTTTAATTGTAGCGCACACATACTACGTATTTGACCAAGCTCCTTCTCATGTTGCTCTTGGGTTTCCTTCAGCACACGTCTCAACTTATCCTCACTGCTCTGGAGCATAGGAAAAAAGGGAGGAAAAAAAACAAAAAAAAACAAAAACATGACAAGCATGTCCAGAAAATACAGCCCAGAATAGGCCAATAATATACTGTAATTGTTAAAAGAAATCCAAATTATTTGAATTTCCATGAGATACCTAAAATAAATATTTGACCCAGCCTGCCAGATGACATTACAAACCTTTTCCCACTCTTGCCTGCTGTGGGCTACAGCTTTATACAGTGCATCCCTGCACATGTCTTTCAGTTTGGCTCTTAGACCACCTTCCCTGCTGCCTCGCTCCTCAGCTCCCCCTCTGCTCAGGTCCTGAATCTCCTTCAGCACCTCCTTTATCTCAGCCAGAACATCTTCTCTGACTTGCTGCTGCTCTTCCCGCAACCTCAAGTAAACACTTAGTTAGCATTTTTAATATTTTATCTACAGTAAACATTGCATTTGTTCTCCAATCTTTGTTACATGATAACAGCACCATGTTTTGTTTAATGTTGTGGCCTTTGCCTCTTTTATCCTTACCTGATCTCTTGCTGACTCCTCCAGCTTTCCTCCTTGCTCCTCAGGGTCTTCTGTAGGTCTTCCTGGCCTTGTCTGAAGGCCTCTTCCCGAGCCTGCTCTAGTTTTTTCTCCAGCTGAGCCTTCAGCTGCATCTTCAGGCAGGAGACCTCCTGCTGCTTGTCCTTGCTCCACATGGCTCTGGCTGCAGAGAGCTCAGCTTTCAGGAGAGCAGTGTGCTCCTCACTGGAACGTTCTAGCTGTGTGTTCAGAGAGCGCACCTGGTCCTGAAGCTCTTGGTTTCGTTTCACATAGTCCTCTAGCTCCTTGCGTTTTTCACTGAGTGCCTTCTGCCATTTGTCTTCTGCTGTTTTTATTGCTGAAGATACCTGGAGCATTCAGATGTGAAGAGGCTTTAACATGCAAGTATCCTGATATCAAAAATGAATTCCACACCTTAATAACTGCTTAATAAATAAATAAATAAATAAATAAACATACTTGCTCTTGAATATTTTGTTCTTGTACTGCCTCCCATTTTTCTCTCTCTGTCTGCTGGCTGGCTTTGTACTCTGGAAGGCTGGTCAGGTCTTGGAGCCAGCGAGCATGAGCCCTGGACACAGCACCTTCAACCTGAGAGAAGCAAGTCACATTATGCCTTCAAATACCATGTCATGCACAACACTATCCTGAACAGTATTCTAATCTTATTTCATCAAAACAGAAACATGAGACTAAATTGTTTAAATGACACCTTGAATCAAATAATGAGAATAAATTGTTTACACAATGCCCTGACTCAAATATTTTTGACAAACAGACCTGTAATGTCATGTCCTGCACATGTTTCTGTTGCAGTTCTCTCTCTTTCTGCCTCAGTGCATCCTCCACTGCTTTGGACAGATTGCTGTCTGCCTCTCGCTGCAGAGCCACTCTCTGGGCATCAAGCCTTGCCTCCAACTGCTCCATGGAGAAAATCTGAGCTGCTGACTCTTGGTAATCTGTCTGAGACGAGCCCTCCTGGGTGTCTGCAGCTTGGGCTTTTTGACTCTCCTTCATAGCTTCCTCTAGTCTGAGTTCCCAGTTCTTCTCCAGCTATGTAAGTGGAGTTAAAATATATACTCAAGCACAGACACAGAAATTAAAACATTTAGCTACAAAGGAAATAAACAACCACTAACTGCACTAACAAAAGTATTTATCATAATATTTGATAAATTCAAAATGTAAAAAAAAACAAAAACAAAAAAATAACGGACTACCAAATTCCCAAAGATGTCAGCCACTGACCTCTTCCTTTTCTTGCTGCCAGCTCTGCTTGGCTGAGGTCAGTTGCTTGGCGACCTGCATCTGGACCTCTGTCTCCTTCTCTTCAGTCCACTGAGCTTCAAGCTGGGTAACAGTCTCCTGGTGCTGAGAGAGCAACTCAGCTTTCAACCTCTCCAAAGCCATCTCAGTCTCTTCTCTTCTCCTTAGCTAGACAGAAGAGAGACAGAATAAACAGATGAACAGATAAATATATATAAACACAATAATGTAAGAAAAACTGTTTAAGAAAAAAGTGGAACAAATAACACAAAGCACATTCTAACATCTCTACATCTGAAAATCATTTCTGAACTAACGTGCCATTTAGGAAGAGATACAGTACACATTTAATGTGATTATTTGGTGCAGGATTGTGTAAAATAAGTTACCTCTTTCTCTCTTAGTTTCTTCTCTTCCACTATCCTGCTCTGAAGGTTTTCTTCAAGTTTGTCCTTTTCCTTGCAAACAGAAATGTAACATTCCTGCACTGCTAAGACCTCTTGACTGAGTTCAGCCAATTTTGACCTAAGGCAAAGGGACACAAGAGACTGTTTATATAACAAACCTTAAGGAGAACAATTAATATTGTAATCGGCTCTGAACAAGTAGATGACTTCTAAAGAATAAAGAGTACTGAGATGTACTGCATATAATGATCTTACTCCAGCTGCTTGATTTGCTGCTCATGTTGGGTAGTGAGCTGCTCCACATGAGTTGTACGTTCCTGTGTGAGTTCTGCACGGACACGCTGTACCACATCATCCCTGTACTGCTGCTGGACCCTCTCATACCTGAAAAACACACACACACACACATACACACACACACTTGTTTTAAATGAGAATATACCATCAATCAGGAAGAACTAAACTATTCAGTTTGTCAAAGGTAACTGTCAGAACAGCAGCTAACTTCTTTCTCTCACAATTTTTTCAGTTATTCAAAAAGACCCATCAATTCCTCACCTCTCTGCAGCCTCCTGTTTCTCCAGGTCAAGCTCCTGAATCATCTCCCTCATTTTGGTGCAAAGCTCAGAATTAGCTGCTTTGACCTTCTCCTCACTCTGCTTCAGCTCCTTATTCCGTACCTCAAGGGCCTGACATTTACATACAACATTACTACACACATTCACTCCAGCATTGTGAGTTTCCATGTTTTGGATAGACAACGACAGGTTTGAGAAACACACAGACCTCTACTCTCTTCTGCAGGTTCTGTCGTTCCTCTTCTAATTTTATAAGCTCTTTTTGAGAAACCGTGTTGGATGGCTCCAACAGCTTTTCTAGGCTGCTTTCTCTCACCTGCAACAAAGGAAATCAAGCTCTTTAGCACTGAGGTTTACAGGGCAGTCACTCACACATTTAGTAACAACACAAGGGTATTACTATGCAAAGCACACCACAGAGTCTTTAGCCCTCATCTCCACTCCATCTAGCTGGGTCTGTAGCTGTTCCATGCGGTTTTGCGAGGTCCTCAGTTCCTCCTGTAACTGAGAGATCTTCTGCCTCTTGGTTTTCAGCTGTGACAGGCACCGCTGTAGCTCAATCTTGAGCTCTCTCACCAAATCCTCCTTAGGAAGACTGGAGTCTGGTAATACTGGAGTGCTGAAAGCAATAAGGAGGAAAATATCACAAAACACAGAAACAGAAGGCTTTATCTAAATCACATTTCTATTTAATTAATTTATGATCCACAGTCATATCACACAACATAAAGATATTACCTGTGATTCCTGCTATTTTTCCAGTTAACTTTCTTGATACCCAGATCTATATAAGACTCTGACAGTTGGTTTTCCCACTCTGTGTTGGAATCAAAAGAAACAGCTCCAAGCTTGACAGCAGACTCATACAGGGTGATCTGCTCTTTCAACTCACTCAATTCTTCCTGTGGAGAAAAGAGATGTAACTACAAAACATGTATTTATTATAACCTGACTACTTTATGGCTAACACACAACATGGACACATAAAAAGAAAGACCGGTTCACTTGCCTGCAGTGCTTTGTTCATGTTCTCACTGATGTTCCGGCTAGATTGTGCCTGCTGTAGCTTTATTTGCATCTGGCTCATCTCTTGCACAGACCCTAATAAAAGAGCCAGTTTATGAATGCAGGTATGCTCTACAAGACAAGATCTAACCTAAGCTAAGCACGTAGAACACTTCATGAGAAAATTTTCAAATCCATGACATATGGCACACAAGATGACCCTTGAGTTACATTTCACATTAGGGTAATTACGAAACCACTCAACCCTGAAATTTTAATTTTGCTGAAGTGATTCAGCTGCATTAACATTTGCGCAGAAAAAGCACCACTGACCCATGCGGTGACCACAGAAACACACACAAATAAACACGCACACACACCAGTCTGAAGCAGCTTGGCACACTGCTGCTGGCTCTCCTCCAAGCGCTGTGTGAGGGCATTGATGACTGTAGCTCTGTCCACCTGCTCCTCCTCCCTCTGCCTCTCCAGCTGCCTCACCTGCTCCCGCAGCCTCTGGGCCGCCTGCACCTGCCGGACACACACACATACCTCTCTGCTTTTGTGCAAGAGACAGCCCATAGCCCACAGCCCATAATGGCTTGCAGTGCCCTCTACTGAAACGATTTGGCATTTCACTTTTTTAAAAATTAATTGACAAGATCGGAGATCTACTAAATCTGGAAACTATTAATCACAGTCACATTTGGTGTGATTTTACCTTTTCATAGCCTATTTATCATAATAATATATCATAATAATTATTAGTCCACGTTTCAAAACAATGCAGTTAAATGGGAAAAGTAATTTATGAGTGTGCTAACCTGTTCTTCCAGGCTCTGAGTAAGTGAGTCTTGTTTTTGCTGAAGGGCGAGGACTCTAGCCTCATGCTGTTCCCTTATGGCAGCCATGTCTCGGTCATGCTGCTCCCGCGTTCGTGTCAGCGTGTCTGAGCGACACAGCTCCATCATCTGCTGCTGCATGCTGTCTACTGCTGCCTCTGCAACACGCTGCTTCTTCATGTTCTACACACACACACACACACACACAACATAAGTCAAGCTTCATGTAGTTACTTGTACATGTTCTGTATGATTTGTGTCTGCAATAAATGATTCATGAATCTGTACTTTCACCTCCTGTTCTCTCTCAGTAAGGGAATGGATTTGCCGCTCTAGGGACCTGACTTTGCCTTGTAGCTGAGATTCTCTCTCTTTTGCCTCCTCTATCAGACGACTGGACTCCTTCAGCGATATTGTCAGGCCTTCTTTTTCATCTAGACAAAAAACAAGAAATATGGCAATTCAACACATCTTTGCTGGGCTCAGGTCAAGAGGGTTAATTAATTATGGTTCTCCTAGCCTTGATTTCCAAGCAAATTCTCCTGGATTAACAGAATAATGTAATGAGGAACATGGAAAAAAGGTAAGAATTGATTAATTGTTGGTAAATGGTCAGAACGGTTATGTGTGACTTTCTGCTGACAGACAAAATAGGAGAACCAGCACAATAAACCACATTCTACCATACTCAGTTGTACAGTAAAAATATTCTCGATAAAACATGGAACTCAAGGCACCTGATACCAAGAGCTAAGTTACCCTGACATTAGCTTACCTTTGACAATGGCAAACTGATGCTCCAAATATCTCATTTTACGCCTGCTGTCCTCCAGATTCTGCTCCAGGTCCTCAATCTGCCTAGACTGAGCTTTATTTAAAATCTTCAACTGAGCATACTCCTGTGCATCAAGAGTACCTAAAAAGACAAGAAACAATTAACACCTTAATCTCTTCACTCATCATTACTCATGTTATGCCCTTGACAAAAATGACAACATGCAAATTTGTGTCTGCCATTCTCAGTATAACTCACTTGGTGATGAGTCGAGAAAGTCTCTTTGAAGCTGGTCAAAGTTGTCATTTTGTGCAGATGACTTCGTGTTGAACATCTTTGGTTGGCTTGTTGGATTATGTGGACGGAAAGTGGCTTTGTAACAGTCAACAGCTTTGCGCTCACTTATCCCATTATCAAAATTCTGGTAAAATTACATGGTAAAGGAAAGTTTGTAATATCATTGTAACGACAGATGAGTATTAAATGAGTTGAATTCAACTGTGTGCTTTAGATCACTCAGTACAACAAAAATACGTATTAAATATGCATTAAATTCCTTAAATCACTCAAAAAAAAAACTCTACATGGGTCCACACATCAGCTCCTCATGCTCATAACTACATAACCTGAAAATTATTCAGTAACTAGATTACTCATTTCAAGATTGATAACTGAAGTATATGCCCTATAGGTGTTAAAAACCCTTACCTGAAAATGGTTTATGACATTCACATGTTCGCCATAGACTTGAGCATCTACCTTAGCCTCCGCTCCATGGTACTCTGCCCCATGGTGGAGACCTGAGTGTGGGTAAGCTTCCTGTTCATACCCCTCCTCAGTAGATAAGGTATTGATGCCATTGGACTCTGCTGTTTCTGCAGAGGAGTAGACACAGTCGTCAGACTCATACTGATAGTTCTGGCCCTGATGTGGGTCCCAGGCATGGGGTAAATGCTCCGTTCCACCCCGGAGATGATCAGCATGGCTGTTTGGCTGCGACGCTGTGCTGTCATAGGTGTAACCCTGATGATTAAACAGATCATCGTCATCCTCTAAATTCTTCAGAGAGATGATTATTGTAAATTTTAAAAAGGATGAATGTGATGAATCCTAGATTTTTACTAGGATTGCATTTTTGCTTAAGAACTGAACAGGAAATTATAAACTCACCTCTTCAGCAGGAGGTGCCCCTGGCTGATTTGACCATTTATGGTGTGCATTCAAAGAATGTGACCTAAAATATATTTAGAAATGACATACTACAAAATATCCTAAACTTTTGTAAAGCAAAATGTGAATGTTAAAATTAAGCAGTGTTTTGGGCGCAAGGCTCAGAGTGTGCCTTTTGCTTCCAGTACCTGTTGTCTCCTTGGTGGCTGCAGGTTGAGTAGTCCAGCTCAGGGGAAGAGCAGTCACGACTATCCTCCAGCATATCATCTGGAAGGTCGGTCAGGAGCTTATGCAGCTGGATGACACATAAGTCGTTCAGAGTTTGTGAAGTGAAACAATAAATAATAAAACTGCACAGAGATTTAGCAACTCTTAGGCCACTATTAGGAAACCATAGCAACTGACAAAAACAAAAACAGTGCCACTCAGTTTCAAGAGAAAAACAAAATCACAATACACAGAAACTCTGCCTCTACAACATGGCAAGAAAGGAGTCTGCCACACAGTAACATCAACTGGATGTATGGAAAAAGGTTCCGGATCAGAAAAAGAAAGCATGCATAATCAATGACAGCTTTAAATGAACCCAGTCAATCATTTAATAAAGTCAAAATACAACAAGATTTCCTGACAGAAGACAAGATGCAAACCAAACTAGACTGACTTACTCTCCATAAAGAGTGCTGAATGAATCTGACATCTTCCACTGTCCCCTCACACACAAAAACACCTTCACGTTCACGCATTTAGGCTAAACACAGAGATCTTGCTGCAGTCACAGTCTTCAGGGACTGAACCACATGCTGCCGACTAGCTGGAGTTTATCTGTATGAGTCATATGTTTCAGCAGGCTTAAAAACGGGAGGAGAAAGGATGAGCCATTTGGTCATTTTTTTTTTTTTTTGCTTTGTCCTGATCTAGAGTCTATTGTCAGCACTCAACCATATATTTTGGTTAACTGGAGCAGAAACATTCCTGCACTCCAGTGGGGAAAAAAAATACAGAACTGGTTCTGTGTGTAGCCTACAGTTCAGCAGGGCATCATCCCATCTAAAGATATTCCTTGACCATGGTCAACACATCAGGTTCAGCAGTATGGCCCACTACAAATCCTCTATCGCCACTGGTTAGCCAGGCATTTTCTCTTCAGCTGCTCCATTTAGGCTAAATCCAGAGAGCCATGAGAAAGTTGGCTATGTAGGGCAGAGAAGCACATGCTGAAACTGCCACAGCAGACACACCTGACAACTCTTCACATGAACCAATAATGGCTCTGGATCACCAAGCAGATTACTTAAGAGTGAGTCAGAGCCTGCATGCATGTGATTAGAAGTATGTGCTCTTTAAACACAAACCCCTCAAGGGTTCCCCCACCTACTGTCTTTGAAACAAAGAGATGGTTTATTAAAGCACACTGGGTGGGGAATGACTGGGGCTTCCATTCGCCAGTTTTACACGTTTGTGCTTGACAACCTTATTCATACTGAGCAAAAAAAATAAAATAGACAAAAATTACAGTTTATTTTACATTCCACTATCTTCCTCATTAGATCAAAATGATTTAGTTTCTAATTAACATTTTAATGTCATGACTGTGTAGATATTATAAAAAACACAGACACAGTAAAAAGATTGACATTAAGCATGTACATAAATAATGTTATTTCACTAAATTCAGCTTTTCAAAGCAAAAGAGGACAATTATTGCATACAAAAGCAACAACAGCTTTTGACTGGATTAGAAATTATTCAATACACTTTCCATGAGAAGTGGCATAAATGAACTTGAGTAAACAAATCAATAATCGATCAAATTAGCAATAAACATAAAAGTAAACAACCTCCAAATTTACCTGTAAATAACAGTTTTGGTGTTTTTGACCTGTAAATATGAATACGACTGCATCTGACAAATACTAAAAACAGAACAGGCAGTTTTAACTGTTAAACTGTTGGCCTAATGAAAGGGATGTTAACTCTCTTATTCTGGTAGAATAACCCTTATATGAAAGTGAAGCTGAACCATCAGTCACACTTCTCTTGGTCAAGCCAAGAAAACAACCTACACCGCTGACAAAACAACAAGCAGAATACAAAGCAATCATGAAACTGAGCCAAATGTATTCTTACTCACATACATTAAAAACAGCAATTTCTGAAACTGCTCTAACTGTTAGGCTTCGTGTTACAACAGGCTGTGATTCGAGATAGTCGGTGCTGAGTATAATGAAAAATGAGTGTCACACCCTTCTTTGAATGGGCGTGTCTACGGGAAGACTGACCTTCTATCAGTGGCATTGTCAAAGTTTACCGAACTGCCGAGCAACAAGTTCTGGTTAGAAAAAGGTTAAATTACCTCCTGCTCCCGTGCGTAATCTTCTTGATCATATTCCTCCTCCTCATCATGCTGCGTTTGTAAGGCAGCGCTATCGAAATCGATGGACATTGCTAGGAGGTGTGTAAAAAAAAGTAAACAAAAAAAACCAAAGGTTTACAAGCGCAGCAACAAACAGGTAGAAAACATCGCTAACCAGCAGGCTAGTCGAGCTGTTTAACACGATTTAGTGCATCAGCTTCTGGTTAGTACAACATTTTAAACGCTTGTAGCCTCTTAAGTACTAGTTGGCTTTCTAGTAACAATGTGAGAATGAATAAGAAGCCTTTTCGTGTAACGTTAACGGGAGTCGCTAACACTGTTAGCTTTAGCCACCTAGCTAACGTTACTCACCCTTAGCACAAGCCGCTCTGTCACCAGGTTACCAACAACAACACGACACATTGCTAACGTTAGGTAGCGAAAGGGACAAACTTCAGAACAAACGTGGTTACCGCTTACCTTTAGCGTGTGAATCAAACGTCCACGGGCCTAAATATGTGTTAATTTCATCGCAGAAACCGATGAATGAAGTTTATCCTGAGTGGTCAAAGCTGGTTACAGTGCAAATCAGCGCAGCCTCCGAGTAAAACTGAGAGACTAACAACGTTTCCTAGCTAACTTAGGTTTCAGAAAGCAGTTATATTTTGAATGCTGAATTCAGTTTTCGTTTGATTGCCAAACATATCCTTGTATCGACGTTTCATCACTTAGTGCCGTCAAAGGGTTTCACCGAGAAGTTATCAGCTAACTAGCTTAACTGCATAGCCGAGCAGCTCAAACAGCTCACAGTCCGCCCGCAGTTGAAACATGGCGCTCTGAGCAGCGGCAAAAATGCAGACCGCTGATTGGTCAGTGAGCTGATGTCGTATGAGCGGCTCTCCAAATTCACAGCGTTTCAAGACTGTGAGTGTTGCTTTTTCCTTTTCTCTTTCTGCTGAATCCGTACTGTTTCTGTATTATGTAATTTGTGATTTTAACGATAAAAATGTATCACAATAAAGTTGTCAATTACCGTTAGAAAAATACTTAAAGTTTGTCAGCTTATACATTCAGTGGCGTAAAAAGGATCTTATGTTATAACAGTACTACTACTACTACTACTCATAATAATAATAACAATAATAATGCCCCCTTCATATAAAAGTATGAAAGGTTAAGGTTTTAACGTTATAAATAATGAATACATGTTGTAGCTTGTGAAGGACCCGTTTGAAAAAGTTGCCATAGATGAGATTCATTAGGGAGATAAATAGATATCAGGGCTGCGTGTGTCAAAGTAGTGATGTACGTTGTTAAAAATTGCATCTTTCTGTTAGTTATATACAACCAGCAGGATAATTTTGGGGGCCAGTTACTGCAGGGCCCCATGAGCCCCCAGTGTGGTTGCCTCCTCTGACCAACCCAGCAGTTACACCACTGCATAAATTACATCAAGCTGCAATATAATGCAAAATCTTTACAAAAATTCAAGGTGAACAGATACATTTTTATATTTTGGTTCCACACAAAACAAACATTTCAAAATTCTGAAGCAACAAAGGTGTCCTTTATTTTGTTGTTCAAATATGAAACAAGAGAGCTTACACAGCATAAGTTATCTGATCAGGGGTGAGGTTCCCACAAGCACTGTAGCCTTAGGATCAATTTAACTAAATCCTTTTGAACACACTCATCTTTCTGTTAACCATCTTTAAAGTACAGTGTTTTCTGGAAACTCACTCATACTGTTTTGTATTGGTGAAAACTAGAGGAATTCTAGTAAAGATGGTACTTTAGTTCACAGGCGCTGCTGTGCATCTACCTAAAACTTGAAAAGTGGATCTTTGAGCAAAACAAATAAAACATGCTGGCTTTGACAGTGTTCAACAGATAAACATTTTCAATTTATTACAGAGTATCCTCACACCTCCCACAAAAGGTAGAATGTATACCTTTCAAATGTTTGTCTTAACCAAATGTCAATACATGGAATTAAAATAAAATTTCCCATCTCCCTAGATGACTCCACCACAGTCTAAAGAACATTGTTACAGTAGACTTTGAAGATTCAGAAGAGCAGATTTCCTTTGAGCATTTCGGTTTTGTTCAAGATGTATAAAGCTGTTGGGGCTTACGTATCTGCAGCTGCATAACACAAACTAGCCAGTTTAAGCACACACTTCATGTCAATCAGTGATCAGGGGGTAGAGGACCTGAAAGGAGTTTGTGTCACTGACAGCCCTCAGAGCCGTCTGGCAGTCGGGTGAATGAACTGCTTCGAGATCTTGAGCGAAGATCAAGCAAGTTTACTGACAATGGCCTGGTTGAGAGAATTCAGCTGATTGGTCCATTTGTCTAGGGCTGTGTATCGAGCACCGCCTCTCTTCTGGTGATCAAGCTCCAACAGCTGGTTAACCTGGTCAATTCGGCCATTGATTGTGCTGAAATAGTTCATAAATTGTATTAGTTAGAATAAAATAAACCTACAGACTCTTCTCAGTTTATGTTCACTAGCTGTCTTCATTACCCATAAAAATCTCAAAACTGTGACAATCATTGACGCTTCTATGCAACAGACGTTACCCATATCTATACCGATAATATAAATATTGCCACTTCTTCATAAAAATAGCAAACAACTTACTTGTCTAGTATACACTGCACAAGTAAGCTTTCCACATCCGCAACATCGATGTTCAATTCCTGCAGGAATATAGTCAATATGTCAGACCACATTATATTCCAAAACATGCCAACAGCACAATTATAAAGAAAATATATTACCTTTGAAATGAAAGGTATGTGTATTCTAGTGTAAGGCTTAATTAATTTGATGAGCACTTGTGTTCTTATGTTTCGTAACAGCTCTGAAAGACAAAAAGAGAGAAGCCATTTAAAACACATACACTACCGTTCAAAAGTTTGGAATAACCTGTTATATAATTCTTTTTTCAGTAATAACGAATAGGGTGTGGATCAAAATGCTACACGCTAGGCACTATGAGCATTCTGGATGTTAACTTTATTATAACTTCGTTCTCAAATGTTACTCAGCTTTCAAAATAATGTACAGCTCTGTTCATCATTCTGAACAAATTTAAACTCGCTTTCTTTTCACAGATTCCTACAAATTTTAAAATCACTTTGTATCCTCAACAGATTGGTTTTATTTTGATGAAAACAGTCAGTGATTGCAGTGCAATCTTCCTTAGAAACAAAATGTTTGTTACATTTAAAGCAAACATAGATCAGACTTACCCTCAATATGTTCCCTGATGAAGGGGTCATCCATGATGTTACTGTGATTCGTCTTCAAGATTTTCTCAAACTCTGTGATGTCATTGTTCTGGTAGGCACTATAAATAAACAAACAAACAAAAAGAAACAGCCGTAAAACATCAAATCTACATTATGTATGTCACAAATACATTTTGAGCTAATATATAAAACTTTGGGGCTGGTCTCCTGGACACAGATTAAGCCTAATCTTGGACTACACTGCAGTGCCAATGGGTTTAATTTCACCATTGAAATTTTTATTTAGTCTGTTTTAGGCTTAATGTGGGTCTGGGGGAAAATGGATCATAGACATTTAAAGTTAAGGCATGTGAGTTGTTTATTTAGTACAAAGAGTTAATTCTATAATTTTATACAGTCTTACCTTACCAAGTTCGTCATTGCTAGAATTTCTGGATCATTTTTGTAGGGTTTTGCCTAGCCATGAAATCACATTTTAAAATATCAATTGAGTTAGTCAAACCACAAACCAGCATAACACAACATACTCAAATTATACTTTGTATTACCTCTTGAGAATCAAATGGGTTTATTCCTGACTTCATCAGCATGTTGGCCAAGACCAGGTACTTTAAACAAGTGGTTCGCCTGGGGCTTCCAGATTCATCGTAATTTTTAAATGCCTCAAAAAAGTCTGTGTGCGCCTTCTCAAATTCTCCCTCCCTTAGGTGCATTTTTCCACCACATTCTGGAATAGATCATACATACAAAACAATAAGAAAATATACACAACTTGTCCTTTTACAAGTTTTACAAGAGAACAACTTCCTAAGCATTAACTTTTTGATTGTATTACTATATATTATAAAATAATGAAAATAGTATATATTACAGGCAAAAACAATACCTCTGATGACTCCCATGATGAGTGGATGAGGAATTGCTGACTTGATGTGTAAAGACTGCTCATAAAGAGCTTTCAGCTTCTTGTTGTTTTTCTGTGCTGTGTACATCTGAATTTCCAAAGCGTAGATCTCCAACAACTGCGTGCCTTTCTTTAGGTCATCTTCACCATCATCCGTCTCCACAAATAAAGCATTCTTCATTAAAATTACATTTGTGGAATTACATAAATTATATGAACTACAGAAAGTTCTCACTGTTTACCTGACATGACTGATGCAACTGCCTGAGAATTTTCTGAAGTTTTCCATACTCTTCTCTCTCCAGATACAACTTCCCCAACTGAATTGAGCAAGAGAACACACTTTAGCAACAATGGTTTTGAGTACATCAACAGACATAATCCTTATTATTATTCATTTTTAGTTACTTCTATACTTAAAAGAATGAACACAAAAGATGAGTAGAATAAGCCTAGGACTACAGCCAGTCCTGCTCTTCTTATAAGTAATGAATAAGTGGCGAGATAGCGCTGTTCAAACCAAATGTTAATAAAATAAATAAATAAAATAATAATAGATGATCAAATTAAAAAACCTTAGTATTGGTTTTGAACCACAGTCTGTCATTTTTGGCATCCTTTAATGCCTCTAGAGTAGTCTCATAAAATTCCTGAAGCAAGTCCATCTGTGAATAGAAAACAGAAAATAAGTGAAAAAGAACAGTTACAACCACACCAAGAACTTCTGGCGTTTCATTTTTGACCATAGTGAGAAGAGAAATAATACCTGTTTAGAGGTTGAAATGTAATCTAGAATGGAGTTAATAGATTTCTCGGAGTAGTTCCTTGTGACTGCGCTTCGTATATATGTCAAAAGCTGTTTGTAGCGGTTCATCATTTCAGGAAAGTTTGTCTAAATAAAAATATTAAAAGAAAAAAGATAAAACATTAATCAGAAACTGTTAAAAGCTTCGACAATTAACGTATTTAAAACTCAAACTCATCCTAATCAGAAAAGCTTTGAAGGATATTTTGTGATATTTTCTGCCTGATGCTTACCAGCTTGAAATTTATTTTAATCATCTGTTTCAGGGCTTTGAATCCCCATTCTCCTTTTTCTCCCTCAAGTTCCAGCACCTACAGTACAGAAAATAAGGACTTATTTTCTTTTAGGGCATGCTTTAAACGTGTCAAATAAATAACGTAGTGCTGCTTTACCTTCTGAAAGCTGCTCAAGGCTGCTTTCGGATCATCTTCCTTTAGCGCTTTGGAGTTATAGTACTGATTCTCCAAGTCGACATTTGGCTCAGAATTACTGTCCTCTGAGTATTCCTGAAATACAAAGAGAGAAAGAAACACCTCAGCTGTACATCTATAGCATAGACTGTGTGCTCTGCCTGGTGGACACAGTCCTTTATTCTAATGGGGAGTTCAACTTCTACCACTTCTGTTTGCAAAAATGACCATAGCTAAATATTCTTGCAAGGTGATCTTCAACATCATTCCATTAAATGTGTTGCACCAGAACCTAGTATTAACTACCCACTTAAAACAGGAAGTGTTCAAATGCATGTGTGGTAGATGCAAAAATAAACAGCTGTTCTAAAGTAGACATAGAATGATAGTGCTGTCAGTCAAATAATAGTAATAGTAATATAATAATAATAATAATAATAATAATAATTCACTCTACACAATTCCACAATGACTTTTTCTAATCCAATGATCTTGTTTCACTTTTTTTTTACATAACATTATTTTGCAAATTGATCATTACTATTATTAATGATACTGGACATACATGCCAGTGGTATTTAACATTGGAGGGCCGGTGTCCTGCACATTTTGGCGATTTCCATGTTCAAACATAACTACCAAGCCTGGGAACTAAGTGAAGAGTTGAACCAAGTGCGTTTGAGAAGGGAAAAATCACTTTTTCCTCAAGTAGGAAAAAACTGCCAGAAACTAGCCCTCCAGGTAGAACTAAACACCCCTGGTGTACAGTTTATGTGCACTGTCATATAATAGGAGAAATAACATTTTAACACAAAGACCTGAACATGCATGGCACTGTCACAAATGTACTCCAAGATTCAGAACCCTATAGAAAAGCAGTCAGAAGTGAAATAAAGTAGTATCCCCCGGACTAAATGTGCGTCTACCATCCCAATTACAATGTTGTGCAAGAGACCACTTGTTTCACAGCTGCACTGAGCTGAACACTAACACAGGATGCCGAAAGTTAGCTTGACTGAAGCTGATGATGTCCTGCAGTCCTGAGTTTAGCTACGGTGCACAGCCTGGGCAGTTCGGACATTTCGGGATATAACTCGGACTGTGCCGAAGTGACTGACAGCTGACCACTTGCTTCATAGCTAACTAGCTAACCACTTGACAAACTTACTCGCAGGCTTTTATAATGCACTGGAGTGGCTAGGAAGCAGGCGATTTCACAAAGAGGGGACACCACACACTGCAGCGCTAACCTGACAGCCAGTTAGTTACTTAAGCTACCAAGGACGACGACAAAAGTGATGCGATCATATCACGGGAATAATTTAATGCTTGCTTTGATTTATAACGACGCTAACTACACACAGGCTAACCTGCTACAACGGTAACAAACATTAGCGTTAGCTAGCTAAGCTAACGGCACTGTCTGCAGTAGTTTCGTCGCTAAGGCCGGTTAGCTAACCCAGCTAGCAGGCAGGGTACATCGGCGGACTAGCGTTTCAGTGGAATTAAAGTGCCCACAGTGTCCAAATTCAGACATATCGGTACCGCGACAGATGGTTCACCGCATGCATCTGAAGCTAGGTGAGTCACTTTTGTTTTACCAGGTCATAATCCTCCTCATCATCGCACATGAAATCATCCTCCATGTCAGACATTTTGACCGGGGAACAGGGCCGAAACACTCCCAGCGTCCTCCGCGGCCCAAAATAATCACAGCGAGAGCGGCAGTTAGAGCGCAATTCAGACTGATCCCAGATCAGCTCCGAGCGGCCTCTCACAGCCGGTACAGCGGCGGTTTAGGGACACGGATGTGTTCCGAGATCTGCGTACAAAGGCAACGTCCGCCGAGACGGTGCAGCGTTCCCAACCAATGGCTTCTGAATGAGTGTCCCCTTCTTCCGTGTTGGTCTGATACATTCCGGGTGTGATTGTCAGCTGATGAACTTCTGCAGTTTTAAGGGGTTCGCTTTATTCAGTGGGCACTCTTCCCACTCAGATGCGGAATGGCTGTAAATCCACCAAAGATCAAGGTGCTTTTCGGTGATAACGACAGGTGAGCTGAGCTCCGTTCGAGGTGCAGATTGACAGATCTGTTCTTTTTCCTCGTCCTCGATGACCGTAAGCGAGAGTCTGCGAGCAGTGGAAGTTGAACTTCTAGCTAGTTGACGCTTTTGCTGTCAGACGACCATCTAGGGCGCAGGTTTCAAACCCTACTCACTTAAAAAGATGGTTCTCCAAGAGTTCTTTAGAGCCTTGAGGTCTATATAGAACCATTTCATGCTTAAATGGTCCTTTGCGTGGTGAAGTCGTTCTTCGGATTGTTGGAGAATGTTGTGTATGGTTCTATATAGAACCTCTTTGAAAAATCTATATAGCACCAAAAAGCGTTTTTCTATTGTTATAAGCTTGACATGGGACAACCTTTTTTGGTGCCATTTTCGAAAAGGTTCTGTATAGAACCATACACAACACATTTTCCATCAGTCTGAACCATCCAAGCATGAAATTGTTCTATATAGAACCCGTGGCTCTAAATAAAATCATTCCCTTTACTAAAAAGCTCTTGAACAGCCGTCTTTTTTAAGAGTGTAGTCCTAAAGTGTGCCCAGTCCTGCACATGTTAGTGTTTTTCCCTTCTCTGCTTTATCATACTCACCCATTTTAACTCAGGGAGGGCTTGGATGAGTGGGGTTAGGTGTGTTGGTAGTTGGGGTACCAGAACCACTGATCTAGTGATCCCTTATATTACAGTGTATGTTGAGTTGATATAATTCCTATTTTCAGACTGCAGAAACTGAAAGAGGCATTTCATGGGAAATATGAAGAACCTCCTCTCTTCTATGCATGCGCTCCTGGAAGGGTAAATCTCATAGGTAGGTTATAATCAGTGTACTGAACGTGGTCTGGGTCTGTGTAATGTAACTGGTCATATTTGATTAACCCTGTTCTTCCTTTGTTTAGGAGAGCACATTGACTACTGCGGCTATGCTGTGCTGCCCATGGCCATCGAGCAGAATATTCTTGCTGCTGTATCAGTGAATAATTCTCACACAATCCAGCTTGCCAACACTGACCCCAAATACAAGTGAGTGCAGCTCTTTTCAGTGTAATTTGTGCCGTGACCTGAAGATGGCACTATTTAACCATTTCACTGTTGAACTGCCTTTGCAGGGATTTCTCGGTGTCTGTCAGTGAGATCACCATAGACAGAGAGAATCCTCAGTGGCATTATTATTTCCTTTGTGGGGTGAAAGGCGTTCAGGTGAGACAAAGAGAGACAAAGGAAACAGTTCATAGAGTGCATTCATGTAGCATTAAAGCAATTGACTGGAGGCCTTCTTTCTCATTACAGGAACAGCTAAGCTTGTCTTCTATTCCTGGAATCCGATGTCTTGTGGATGGGACCATACCTGCTAGTTCAGGACTCTCTAGTTCTAGTGCCCTGGTGTGCTGCGCTGGCCTGGTCACAATGGAGGCCAATCAAAAGGCTATTTCTAAAGTAAAACATACTCTCTGCTGAATTACCTCCCATCCAGTAATTGAACATCACAAAATTTCCCAAATATGTCCTGCGTCACAATATCAGATGATGCTTACGTTTGCATTAATGAAGTTAAATAGGCATTTCAACCTAAAACTAACCTTCTATATCTTATTTGTCATATTATGTAATATTTTAAAGTGCAGGATTGTATCCCTCAGTCATAAGTTTGACACAATTCACAGTTTTGTATCAATTGGGAACCTCTTCCATCAACAATAAAAAAAAAATCCTGATTGCTAGGATAGCCACTGATGTAGAGGCTAATAAATGCAGATGTCATCTTCCTAGCAGAAACATTGGCTATCTGGCTTCCATCTGCATTAGCCAACTAGCAAAAGAAAAAAATAAACCAGTTGCTCTCAAGTTTCTGTCCTAAAATGCTTGCAGTTCATGCTTGCAAGTTCCACTCACCTTCAAGATACATCATCAGGAGGGTTTTTTATACTTCTTAAACTGAAAAATCCTGTTCTAGAGGCTATTGTGGCACCACTATAGGATGTGATTAGACATGTTTACAGCTGTTTAATGAACCCGTACTTCCTCAGTGCTAGTAACTTACTATGTACTGAAAAAATGTCTTGCAAACCTGACATGTCTTGTTTTGACTGGATTACATAATTTCTACTGCCATGGCAACAGGGATATAGCCAATTTATGAAATATAATATTACCATAGACATAGTGCTTGTTAGTAATCAGTACTGACAAAGCTGAAAAAAAGAATATTATTGTGTGACTCTAATTGCAGTATATAGTATAGATGATATATCGCTCAGTACTATGCATAAAATTCACATATAGGGGTAAAATTTTACCTGTGCCTTTTCTGTCAGGTACTGCTAGCTGAAACCTGTGCCAAATGTGAACGTTACATTGGTACTGAAGGAGGAGGGATGGATCAGTCTATATCTTTTCTTGCTGAAGAAGGAACGGTAATGTATTTCATTCTGATTGTTATGCCTGTGAGTCATGGAATGTATGAGTCATCAGCTCTTATCACTCTCTGTATAACTGTAGTTCTGTCTGTGAATCCGTGTCTCTAATTCTGTTTTGTCCTTTATTTTTAATAGTATATGATTTGATAAATCTTTGTGGTTTCTGTGTTTTTCATTGCCTATTGACAATCCTGATCACTGAAGGCAAAGCTGATCGAGTTTAATCCCCTGCGGGCCACAGACGTGAAGCTCCCAGATGGAGCTGTCTTTGTGATTGCTAACAGCTGTGTGGAGATGAACAAGGCAGCCTCATCACACTTCAACATTAGAGTGGTGGAATGCCGCATTGCCACGAAGGTGAGGAGCTTTTGATAGTGTGAACTTTGCCTTACAGTTTATTCTGTTCCTTGTATAGCCTACAGCAATGTCAAACTGAGGTCCTGGGGGGCCGTAGCCCTGCATAAAGCGTTTTCTCACCTCTGACATTCTTGATTCAACCTATGGAGACCCTGCTAATTATCTGATAAGTTGACTTAGGTGTGTTAATGCTAAATTTGGCAGTGTTGTGGCCCTATAGGGCTGGAGTTTGATAATGCTGCTCTAGTATTTAATTAATTTGAGCAAAGAAGTCAATTATTTTGTAGAGACACTTTTTGATACTCTCAACAGAGCTGCTAAATTATGCCTACATCTTATGCTTTAGGTTATAACTCTTAAAGGGTGCACCTTTTTGATATTTTATTTTATTTTTGTTTCTTATTTTATTTTATTATTATTTTATTAATAAAAATATTTTATTTTTTGCCCTGAGGTCCACATTAATGCACTAAAAACAGTCATAATTCATTTATACATGACTGTTTTCCAACCTCTTATTATCCCTTAGAATTAAACAGGCTGTTTTTGTTACTGTCTTGATATCAGTACATTAAATCTATTCTGAATGGCTGTCCTGTATCATATGCTGTTAAATATTATCTAAAACTAGAAGATTGTCAGTTCTCAAACAGTTATTTGGTTATATGAGGTGTGCTCCTGCTTGGTTGAAATGAAAACCTGTAGCCACAACAGCTGTTTTTGGATAAGATTGGTGACCCCTGATCTAAGGGAGCTCTGCGCACTCTCTTGACAGATACTGGCTAAGACCAGAGGCCTGGAGTGGAGTGAACTGCAGAAGTTGGGGGGGCTGCAGACAGAGCTGGGGTTGAGTCTGGAGAAGATGCTGGATTTGGTGGAGGAGGTCTTTCACCCTGAGCCCTACAGCAGAGAGGAAATCTGCAAGCTTCTGGAAATCACCACTGAGCAGCTGTGCAACAATATCCTCAGTGCTAACACACAGCATGGTGAGCCCATATAGAACTTGTTTCTTATAGCTAGGTAAGGCCATTGAGGTTATATGGTCAGTTTTAACCTTCAAGAACCTAGATCAGTGTTTCCCAACTCTCGTCCTGGAGGCGCACCAGGGTGTGCTGGAGGCACACTGCTCTGCAAATTTTAGTGCTTTAACACATCCACTACAACTCAGTAAAGATTACAATTAGGTGGATCAGGTATGCTGGGAACACAGAAAACAGTAAAATACAGTGCAGAGCAGCATGCCTTCAAACACTGACCACAGGTTTTCGAGTCTGAACCTTGAATTCAGTTTCCGGTCGTGGACATAGTGTCATACCTACCAGCATTTACAAAAATGTAGGACCGTAAGCTGGATTCAATGTTCTGATTTGAAGACCTCTGATTTAGACTCATTTGCACAGAATGGTACAAAATGCATTACATTATAGCCAAGAACCTGTTTTTCTTTTCACTTCAGTGACCCACTTCAAACTGTACCAGCGAGCCAGACATGTGTACAGTGAGGCCGCCCGCGTGCTGCAGTTCAAGGCTGTGTGTGACTCATCCCCTGATGGCGCTGTCCTGCAGCTGGGCAATCTAATGAACCAGAGTCATGCTAGCTGCAGAGACTTGTATGAATGTAGCTGCCCCGAGTTGGACCAGCTGGTGGACATTTGTCTGTGAGTGAGAAAAAGACATCTTCCCCATTAGGAGATTAATGGAGCATTATTGTCAAGCTGTAGGGGGTCAAAGAGTGATGTAACTTTGCCTCTGTGATGCACTGAAGATAGATTCGAATAGACGTGTTACATCAGTGGGAATATTGGCCATAAGGAATACGATGATTCACCTCTACAAGGCAAAGTCTCCTTATATACGGTCACTGTCATAACAAAATCTTGAAGCAGTAAC